TCCTGGCCCAGAAACATATTCTCGAGCGTCTCGACGCGGCGATATAGCTGGTCAACCGCCCCAGCTCGGAGACCGGGCTTAGTACGTCGATCATCGTAGACGCAAAGGACATCTGATCGCATACATTGCGAACAAGGCTGCGCTCGGTTGCATTTGGCTTTCTTCTTGCGACAAAACTGACAGGCTGGGATTTCCTCCTCTCCTTTGGTGGTTGTTTCCGGCAAGTCTCCTGCGCTGGCGTTGGATGTCGCGGGTTGAGATTTTGCAGTCATCGGGTAGACAGGGCTGAAGTTGTTGAGGTTCACGATAGGAATATTTTCTTCAGGAAGACAGGGACGTCTGACATACAGAACTACGCATGCTCAAACGCGAACGCCCCCATAGGGAATTCCTTCTTTTCCCCGCATTTTGCACTCGTCATGCCACCCCTGGAACATCCTCTTTGCCGTTGAGCTTAGTTGACATGGAGACCTGCGCTGCACCAATCAACTTCCTGTCGGCGGGCGGGGTAATTACCGGCGAGTGTCCGACACCGGAGATTTTCCTAAAATGCTTTAGCAAAATGTTCGATTTGCTATATTAAAAGTTGGAATTAGGAAAGGGATCGACATGTTCGGATAGATAATTGATCAGGAACTCCCGCTTTCAACTGTAGGTAGTGGTTCGTTGCTCCTTAGGAGTTGGGGCGCGCTGGCCCTAATTGTACAGAAAAGCCGGTTTGGTCTCCGACCTTCACTAACTCACTTAAAGGATCTCTAATAACACCGGATATTTACTGAACTAGCATGTTCGTTCTCCCCGAGTTCCAGCGTTTGCTTCTACAAAAGTGTATAGCATGGAAAATGTATCTCGTGCGGAGTGGAAGACAGACCCACCTGCAGTTAATATCCAGGGTCCATGTCTTCAGGGAAGGATCAGCGGGTCACTTACGTATGTGCAGGGGACACTAAAGACCCTTTCCGCGCGTATGAGTGCGTCATGAAAATCCTGCAATGCAATCTAGACTATCCTAAGTAGAATACTCTGTAGAGGCAGAGAACAGCCAAGTGGGACGAACGAAAAGAGAGTGAGTTTGCGAACCCTTGTACACGGGATCCACCAGGCCACGCAACCTGTCAACCCACAATCAGTCCACCTCTCAGAGACAAAAGCAGATTTCAAGATTTAGCATCACCTGGATGTTTTAAGGGTCTAGCCATAGAAGCTTGGACCACTCAGTTACCAACATGCAACGCACTCGACACGAGGTTTGTGGAATGGACTCTTACCACTACGAGCCGAGATTGCAGGAGCATGAGATGGCTCGTTTTCATATCTGTCACCCATAATCGACGTGTTTGCTGGCGTATCACGCGCTAACTAATATGGAAGAAGCTTAGTATATGCCGGTAGGGGTACCTTAACGGCCTATCTTTTATTTTGCTTCCAATCACATCTAGCTCGGTGGTCGACATACACCATGGGTACGTGTTCTATCGACTTTGTCCCTTGCATGTGCCGTCTTTCGGGGTTGCTGATTCCTGTAGACATTTCAATCGCCCCTTTTGCAGAGTGACTGGATCTGGACTTACTGAACCTCCCAACTCCGGCACCATAGGTGGAGCATGCCCCCACATAGTCATGATCAGTAGCACAAGTATATCCTCCACATCACCCTGCCGAGACGCATTCGGCAGGAGGTATACCAGTAGTGAATGCATAATAAGTCCCCCTTATTCTTCTATCATGCCATCAAACCAAGATTTCCAACTTGAGCGCTCTATCCGGTGACGTCCCGTTCACCCCCGGACGAATTGCCCTTCTAGCGAACGTTAAGGCACAAACAAGTCTAGTTTATACAAGTAAGAAATAAATACGTAATGAAATACTACGGCGAGGATGGTAAGTATAGTGTTGATAAAGTTGAAGCGTTTAGAATAGAAGCCACAGCCTGTCCTAACTTGTCATGTCTGCACTCTGAAAACAAGAGTTTGATAGGACCCCAGAGTTCCATTGAATGAGTTGGCATCCTGCGCAGTCTTTCCCGACCAAAGTTCAACAACCTTTTGAGGCGAGCCAAGCCCAAGACTCGCAAAGCTCAGAGACACAGTCTGCAGGTAACTCTTCTCGTTCAGTAGAAGCACAACATATCCCCCCTCGACATTTCCAGCCCATACCTGAAAGAGGCCTTCCTTACTGTGAGCCTCTTTATACGTCACAGGCTCTCCAAGAGCGTCTTGGTTGATGGAGATGATTGCCGTATTGGTGAGCACACCTAAGCTATCATTGGAAAGCTTGCTCAGATCAGCCCCAATTATCAAGGGTGATTTCAGCGCCGCCCAGAACGCAAAGTGTGTCTGTTGCTGGTAAAGTGTGAAATTGGCATTTCCGACTTCGAGCATATCCATATCCAACCAGTGACCCTGAGTCTGATATTGGCTGATTTCTTTCATTTTATTGATAATCGTCAGGACTGAGCAACCGGCATATCCAGTGTTAAGACAGTAGGCGGTCTTGCACTGACACTCGGTTTCATTGGTGAAGCTTGTCGTGATGTCGCCAGACATTCTGTATGAGTGACCGATGTCTGCGGGCAGATGAAATGAGTATCTCAAAGTAGAAGATCAATTTGTTTGTGGGATGTATCTCACCTCCTCCCCAGTGCCAAGGGAACTGATAACCCCAACCACACACAGAATAGAAGATATCTCGACCGGAAAGAGCAAGCGCATTCTTCATTGCCCCAAAGCGGATCTGAGGGGCCTCCGTCATCGACTGGAATCCGCCACAGTTGTCGTACTTGAGATAGTCCACGCCCCAACCCGCGAACGTTTGGGCATCTCTTTCTTCATATCCCCAGCTTCCTGGTCTCCACGCACATGTGTAGTGTCCACTGTCTCCGTAAAGGCCTAATTTTAGGCCCTTAGCATGTACCTCCTCGGCCAGTGCTTCAATGCCCTCAGGGAAGGACGTTGCATTGGCTTGAAGATACCCGTCGGATGTGCGATTGTAGCTTGCCCATCCATCATCAAGCAGCACGTATTCGTAGCCTGCTTCCTTTAGCCCGAGAGTATCGAAGCGCTTCATAACACCCTGGACTATCGTGTAGTTTACCGTCGCTTTGAATGCGTTCCATGAGTTCCAGCCCATCTGAGGTTTTTGTGCCAGGCTATTGCCTCCCAGTGCGGAGTGGACAAAGGTTAAAATCGCCACGATGGCCAAGCGGAATGAAAAGAGTTGATGATTGCGTCCCATTATGCTGCTGGTTATACTGGACGAGTTGTGTGCTGAGGTAACCGAGGAGTCGTTTATGGGGCAATTATAAAAGTTTTATTTGTAGCAGGTTTGTTTCTCCATCAGTGACTAACTATACAACCTCCGGTCATTGTCCGGGTTCCCCACCGTAGTAACGGGAATAGGTAGAATTGGGTTACCAGCTAATAGAGCTGCCGTTTTGCAGCCGAGTGACATATTCTCATTGGCCGGGTTTGGTGGATGGGGTTGCGGAGATACTCCGGGAGATGCAGCGGCCAAACTACTATTAGTGACCCTGAACAACTTGCCCAAATTCTTAGTTATAAACCCTTCAACTAGATCCTTTCAACCCACTATATCGCGTATCTCGAACTTGTTGTTTTTGCACCACTTCGAAAACCTCAATATGATATTCTCGATTTTTCCATTTATAGGCGTCCTTATTTGGGTTGGTTTAGTAATGGCCACAGCAGACCCTCTAAACTACCGAAACATCCCCGGCTACGTAGCCTCCAGCTCCTCAAATGCGACGACCGCTCTAGATTTTATCAAGTCTCGATCTGACTTGAGCATTTTGTCTGAGAAGATCGATGAACTTGGCGGATTTGCACAAGCGTTTGACACAGATCCAGATTGGAAATTTACATTCTTTGCGCCGAATAACGATGCCTTTGAAACTTATACCGGGGCATACTTCGACAGTTTTGAGCCGACACCGTATGTCAGATCATATTTATTGTACTTGGGTTGCTGTCGCTAAATTTGCCTAGAAAAGGGAAATGGTGGCTGGGGAACACTATCATCCACCACTATGTGCCTAACTCCGAGCTCACATCAGCTAGTTTCAATGAGACGTTGCAACGATTTCAGGTGAACATACACATACCCATCCAGAGTTAATGCAGATAGCTGATTTCAAGATTAGACTGCCACCTACCTCTTCGTGAGCTCGCAAGTACAGGATGGAACGGTTGTTCTCAACCAAGTGGCTAGAGTAGTGGAATCAGATATCCCAGTCACCAGCGTACGTACTCATTACCTTTTTGCAAGACCATCGAACGATAATCTTCTAATTGTTATTGACATAGGGCGTGGTGCACATCATCGACCGTATTCTAGATCCATCAGCACAGGTATTCGAAACCGATCTTCCGCGAATGTCACAGACTTTCATCGCAGGGAGTTGCTCGAATCCTCAGCTTTCATATTGTTGATCTAAGTCAGCCACTTGCAAATTGGCCAGATTTATCCTACTATCATCATTGTCAGAATATCATCTTATGGTACAGACGCTGCCAAGAGTCACTAAGTAGGCATTCATAGACTAATCAAATCTCACCAAGTGTTGGTTTCATTCCTTCACAGGAATCATACCCCTGTAGATAAGGAGCTCCAAGCTAAAACCTACCAAATCAACCACGGTAATTCTAATGAGTCACTGGCATTCTGCGCTCACTCGGGCAACCAAGTCTAGGCATCTACCATGACCCCATATATCAAAGAAACAGGTAGTACAGACAACAGGCAGCAGACAAGACCAATCCGGCCACGTTTTCTGCTTACTTGTTAACTCTATTTTATAAAGCAGCAGCAACACCTTACCCTGAGGCCGCCACATCATTATCGAATCTTCTACTGAAAAAAATACTGTTTCCGTGAACCAAATCCTCTTTCATACATCTTACAAACCTCTATCCTGCCTCCACCCTCAGCAAACCCAATACATCTTTCTTCATTCCACCGCCCTCGAAAGAAGCCCACCCAAAATGAAACTCCTCACCTACCTCCTCACCATCTACGCCACCACCGCCCTATCCACCTCTATCAGTGCCGAAGAAGAATGCGGCTCCCTCGGAGTACTGAAAATCGACCCAGCCGATCTCCCCGAAGGCGTCATCCCCGCTGATGTGCGCAAGTGCGCAGATCATCCGCTGGGCCATCTGCCGCACCCCGGTGCTGCTGCAGGTGGTGTGTTGCAGCGTATTCTGCCGGGTTGGATGTTTTGAAATGGACATTTCATCTCTCTATTATCTCGGTCTGGTTGTTGTTAGGGTGTGAAGGCTGAAATAAACATATCTCAGGGCAAAGGGTTGGTCAGATTCCATGAATGATTTGGAGGCATGATGTCGTGTTATGGACGAAGGAATGATTTGAACTGCAGCTCTGCATCTGTGAGAGTTTGGGCGGGTGACAGCCACCTGAGGGAAGAAACTCGAAATGCAGAACTGTCCAGTCCACTAGAGTTTTGAAAATGTACACCTTAACGACTTATTACGAGCCGCCGGTTCCAAGGAGCTGATATGTAAATGGTCGCTAGAAATAGTTAGAGCTTTCAATCTACCTCCCACCCAGATCCCACCAGCTTGCAAGTAATATATACTCTCCTCATCGCGCAGATTGTATATAGCCTACGGTCGTAGTCGATCCCCCCTAAACTCCTCCGCCGGCCAGCCCTGCAACGTTGTGCCATCCTCAACATGATCCCCCGACAACACCAGCGTATGCTCCAGCAGACACGCATCCTTCCCCATCGACGCACCCGACAACAATCGAGACCCAGTGCGCATCACACTTCGATCGCCCACTTTCAGCGTATGTAACTCGAAGTCCCCCCGCGTGTTGAGATGACACACCAGACTAGCATCATCCACCGTGACTCTATCCCCCAGCGTCACCAGGTCCGGTTCGGTGAGGATTATATGCGGTTCACCGTTGGCGCTCAAAGCGCAATCCGCCCCGATCTTCGCCCCCATCGCACGGTAGAACCAGCACAGGTACGCCGTCCCGCTGAGTAAAGACCGGATGCCTATCCTACCGAAGGACTCCTCAATGAGAATGTCGATGGTGCGCTGGATCTGTCAGCGCTGGCAATAGCTGCTACGATCATTGGGATAGGAACCCTCCCGTCGTCGTCCGAGGATTATCCACTTGGTGGTAATAGAAATTCCCAGAGTCACGACTCCTTGAACTACAGTTACTGCAGCCATAACTGCAGCCAACACGCCATACACGGCAAATGGACGCCACCATCGCATCTCAAATGCCATTACCTCCATTGGGAGAGTACGGCTCAGCACCAGCAAGGCCGCCAGCGGCGCCACCATGGGATACACAGCCGTAAAGGCAACCATAAAGCTGGAGTACGCGATGATAGGCCCCTGGCCCAGCACACAGTAGTTTGCCTTCCCCAGGTAGAGGGCGCGGCCGAATGGCCTTGTCGTGTCACGCTCTCCGTCGACAGAGTCCCTCGCATCATCCCCCTTCCCCTTGAGCTGAGGGAAGCGGACAGCATCACCATGCTTGCTGCCAGTCCAGACACTGTCATCTGGAAAGGAGCCATTCCGGCGTAGCAGTGCGCCCGAGCCCACCATCGTGCGCGTCCCAATGGTCACTCCCGGAAGCACCACAGATCGGTCCCCTAGCATGGCCCCATCCTTGAGGACAATAGGCTCCCTCCCCACCCCGTCCACCGTTACCAGACATGACCGTGAGCCAAACACTACGTCGTGCCCAATGTCCACCAGGTCAAAGTCCGGGATGAGTTTCAACTCGGTACGTGGCCAGTATACACGTTTTCCCACGCGCCCGCCTAGCAGGCGTACCGCCACAGAGACCAATTCGTAGTGCGGTCCTACCAGCTGCGCCAGGCGGGAGATGTCTCCCTGCGGAACGATGGCGTTGAGTACCGCATGTCGCACTTTCTGAGCCGGACGCAGCGTCTTCATAGTTTCCCGCGAGGGCCGGCCACAGCATACATCCAAACCGCGCTTAACTACAAGCACTGCTAGGAACCACGCAAGTGGTCCCGCTACAGCGGAGTATAGTCGCATGAGAAGGAAATAGCCGATCCGAGTCCGGCTGGTGAGCCAGGACACAGTGTGTCGCAGACGATCGGCTGCGACAGTAGGGTAGCGACTCACTATGGGGAGCAACCCTGCGATGCGTGGCAATTCCGATACGAAGTGTACAAGAAGCTGCAGCCACCCCACGACCAAAATCTGCCAGATCCAGTGGGGCTGCATGGCCCGGGCAAAATATTGATCACGATTGGACTCGTCCGCATCGTCAACTTCCCAGGTGGACGAGTTGGCGCCGATACACGTGCCAGGGGGCAGCGTGGTCCCAGGTACCACGGTCGATCGGAGGCCCACATAGGAGTTGGCTCCAATGGTGATGGGCTGAAGCAGCATGGAGGTATTGCGCTCACTCGCAAATGGACGGCAGATGCAGTTCTCAAGCACCACATTGTCGCCAATGTGCAGGAGATCGTACTCCCCAAGGGCCGTGAAGTCGTCGATAGAGACATTGCGTCCAATACGTGCACCCAAAGCTCGATAGTACCAGATTCGGCTCCTGCCATAACGGTCGAATACACCCTGGTATCTCGTGGTCAGCTTATCCTGTGGACGGGGAAGGATCACGATTCAGTACATACCTTCCCACAAACTTGGAGCGCTTTCTGTGCTAGCCACCACCGCATATGGTACGGTCCCCACATCGGATACATTCCTGCGCGGTATCGGCCAACAAGGAGCCATTTTAGTGCGATCCCTATTAGGGGGGAAATAAATGCCATCAACAGTTGGACAGTCAGTTGGATGAGAATGAGACCAAGCAGCCGTCCAAAGAGATTCGGACGCAGCGGAAACCGTGTCGATATTTCAGAGAGCAGATAAACCAGGAATGTCCAGCGCAGCGCCTGAAGCATTGGGTAAAGAATGACAGATGGAACAAGATTCAAGAATAGCACCCACGGCTGAGTGGAGCTATATGTCTCCCGACAACCTGGAAGCTCGTGGCTTTCAACTTTACGTGTCTCACTATCAGCGATCGCTGCCTCGATGATGGCCGTGATGGCGCCTACAGTGCTATGCTGGAAAAGAACATCCCCTGCCACAGGCACCCGGAACTCCTGCCGGATCTTGGAAATGAGCTGGCCCGCACTCATACTGTCCCCGCCGGACTCGAAAAAGTCGGTCGCGGGAGTCATATCTTCCGGGGCAGCTCTGAGTGCCGTTGCGAAGAGATTAGATACCTGCTGCTGCGTGCTTGACGTGACTGTTGGATGCAGTGCAGTCAGCTTGGCTTGTACAGCAGCCTCGTCAATCAAGCCATGTGTGTTGCGTGGCATAGGATCATCTAGCACGTCCAACCTGCTGGGAATTAGGTATCCGTGCAGAAGCTCTGGGAGGCTGGCGAGGATCTCCTCCGGCGAGACATCGCCAGTCCCGTCCCTGAAGATGATGGCTCGGGGGTATCCGTCCGCGTGGACTTGCAAAAATACCTCCGACAGTCCCGAAACTTGCGCAATATATCCCTCCACCAAGCGAAAATTGAGCTCGCATCATTTTCGAGCGATGGGTACGGTGACAGGTGTATCCACCGATGGACACAGTGCCTCGTAGTGCCGCTCAACCATAGGAACCTGATCTGTCAATGTCTCCAGACCTAGTCTTTGGATCAGGCCGATGCGTCGCAACTTGTTGCGTGATTTAGGAAGGTCATCCATGTAAATCAAAAGAACAGGCCATTTGGGCTGATGAAGACGCTCCCTCAAAGCCTTGTGTATTTGGCGAAGATCAGGCCTCATGCGACCTGCTGGGGTTACAACCGCCACGCCAACGACCTCTTGAAGGGTATCATGGGGAGTAGGGAATGCCAGAGCCTCCCTGATACGACCGAAGACGTTTGAGGATGGGTCTCGGGAAGCTGATACTAATGCATCCTCGACCTCCACCGGCGATATCGTCTCCCCTCCGCGATTGATGACTTCTTTCGTCCGCCCGGTGATATAGAGCCATCCATCCTCGTCAACATATCCGAGATCGCCCGTGTCAAACCACCCTGCTGGAGTGAACGAGCTCCGATCCAGTCCACCTTTGATGAGGTAACCCGGGAATACGGGCAGGCCTCGGACACAGATCCTACCTACCGAGCCAGTAGGGGCACGCTGCTGCGTGTGCTGAGTATGGAAAATTGCCAGCTCTGGCCCCGCGGCCAGTCCGGTGCTCCCTGGCCGACTAAAGCGACCGGCCTTAGGTGGTGCCGTAATGGGTACACATTCAGTCATTCCATAGCTGAGCGACAATGAGCATTGAAATATGTCTTGGAGCTGCTGTGCGAGACTCGGGGGCAATGCTGCTGCCCCGTTGCATATAAATGTAATAGTGCTTTTCCTAACAGATTCAGCCCGTTGCGCAGCTTCGGCTACTATCATCTCATGCATTGTTGGTGCTGCGTAGTACCACGTGGGGCGATGCTCTTCCACCATATCCCAGAAGTGGTTCGGATCAAATTGAGAGCAACAGATCGTCATGCCCCCTGCCACAAGGGGGGCCCACAAGCTTCGCATCATACCGCCACTTTTTCTGTCAGTACATACCTTTTGGCATTCGCTGTGTAGTAACGAAGGGGCTCATACACATGATGGAGTGGCATCATATTCAAACAGCGAGATCCAGGAGTCAACTCCAGACTGTCCATCACGAATGTTGCACTGGTAAGAAGATTGAACATGGTGATAGGAACCAGCTTCTTGGTACCACTACTCCCACTCGTGGCCAGAATAATGGCAAGATCATCCGGGCCATTGGGAGCGTGCTGGGCTCGACACGGTTCAATGGAGGAGTTTGCGCGAGTAACACTGAAAGTCAAATCATCCTCTGGTTGAACTGTGAATACGAGTAACTCCGCCCTTTTCTGCAGCCGTTTCATCTCCGAATCAAGCATAAGAACTGCATCTGCCCCGACCGCGTCAAGGTCAGTCATTAGTTCCTCAGGGGCTGCTGTAGTTGCCATTGGCACAACGGTATAGCGGTTCGCTACTGCAAGCAAAGCCAGGGCCAGGAGAGGCCCGTTGGGAAGAACGGCTGCCACCCGCGGCTTCCCACAATTTGGGTCTGGGAGCTTAAGATCAAAATTTTCTATGAACTCCCGAACCTTTGTGTGTGATATGATGCGGCCTGACCTGGGTTCCAGGAGGGCTGGCTGCCGGGATTCACATGAGATGAAGTTGGTCATATGGGGCATAACCGACTTTATTCTCTGCTGAACATGATCAACTGTCACCACCCAGTCTGGCGAGCTGCCATCCTTGGCTGCCTCTGGTAGTTCTTTCCAGTGCTTTTGGTAGCGTCGCAACAGATCTTGAAATGGCAAAGGTCCACTCTTCTGGTATAACGAGTCGGTAATCTGGAGGAAAGCAAAATTTGCCGACGGTTGATGCTGCTCTTGCGATTCATCCTGTATTCTGTTTATGTTAGCTGTCAGCACAAGTGTAGCCTATGTGGGAGCTCCAGTCAACGCACAGGCTCGCCATGAGGACAAGTACATGGACAAAAGCAGTGTGGGGTGATAGTATCAGTGATCGAGAGTGATAAGTGAAGTGGGAATACCTTGAGTATGCGCAAAACCTTGGCAGTTCTTCGCTTATGTCTGAACAATGACTGCCCCTCTGCGCAACTGAGAGGCCTGTCCGACCCCCTAGGATTCCCTAGAGTGTGGTGTCATATGCAAGCCACACCGCCGCCATGTTCATCCACCATTGGTGACAGACTGCAATCAGATTATTGGGGATGCTTCAGATCAGGGACTTTCATACCGATAAAGTTATAGACTGCCAGCAAACTGTGATTCGTGGACCTTGGTGATTGGTGCATGCATGCATCGGAGGTAATGAGTTTCTTGGTATCTTCCGGAAATGAGTACCGGGGGGAATCTGTTGACTCGGTGATACGAGCGACAGACGCGGATTAAATGTATCCTCTCTATGATCAATGCGTTGTTCCACTCTGAGCTCTGCGTTGGCATGGCCTTGCTCTTGCTCAATCCCCCGTTTCTGGGAGATAATGGTCAAATGACTCTGTTTTGCGTATTTTTCCAAAGCATTTTCCAAGATTTGATCAGCTTATTGATTAGCTCCACGGAAGTCCAAGAATAGGCTTATAGTTCAGCCCAAGTTGGCAGTCTTATCTAATGAAGGTGGCCCGCAATTTAGACATCGGCTGCAAGGCCAAAGAGACTCAAGACGTACCCCAGAATTTAATTTAAACTCTGTGGAACCTACGAGTATATGCTGTCGATCAATTGTTTACTATCTGGATGGCCTGACTCTGCGTCATCTCTCGTCATACCTTCTCTCCAATCGAACAATAATATTAATTTGATTCGTCAACCAAGCGACTCACGAGCACAAAAGGCAAGTCAGCAAGGTGTTCTCTCCGATTTTGTAGGCGCAGCAGCCGGAAAGCAAGCATAATTGAGAACTACACATCTTAGCCTGATGAGTAGAAAGTTATAGAGAATTGTTGCCCCTTTGGCTGCGTGTTTACGGAGGTGTAGCGGTTTGTACCCAGGCGATATGCTAGACAGATTGACCCAATACAAGCACCTGGAGACCAGCACTATTTTATTTCTACAGTACATTGTTTATGCCTCACCCGGCGGAGCCTTTAGGTTCTGTAACCTTTCTCGCCCATACACCACCGTCGCCACCCAGTTACTGACAAATACATAGCCGAAGGCAATGAGAACAAAGCAAATGCCAATGAGGGGACCTAGTATAGAGAGGATGGTAAATCCGTACGATGCAGACTGAAAGGCAGCATTGCCTTGCAGAGCATCGGTTGCCAGGCCAAGCTGCAAGGCTGACAAGAGAATAGCAATGTACACAGTCGCCGAAGCCAACCACGCGAAGTTGTCTTGGAGGAAGCCTTTATATTGATGCCAGCGCGTCATATACCCTCGGGTAGAGTGTTGTGAGAAGCAATATATCTTGTTTAGACGGCTGAGGCGAAGTTCTCCGTAGAGGAAACGCCTGTCAATTCGGGAGTAAATATGCTCCGTATCGAGTTGGTCGACAATGACCCTCCACTCTCGCCATTGCAGCTCGGGTGGAAGCAGATGCTTCTCTTTTGCAATCAAAAAGTCAGTCTCATGCATTATCAGTGCGGCATAAGAAAACAGGAAACCAAGTGCACGCTTCCAAAGTCTCCAATGGCATGCTTTATTAACTCCAGGCGAGTTGATCTCCTTAGAACAGCGACAGTCTGGCACGCAAGACAAATAATCGGTCCAGAACTGGGGCACCAATAGAAAACGTGGCATTGGCTTCAGAAACATTCTGCCGGTTGTCCATACAAGGTGCATGTCCATCCGCTCCGTCACAAAGAGCTCTCGTGAGAGGAGGAGCTGGTGGTGGAGTGGGCGCGGTGGCATTGGTCGGCCCGCGACCCATAGCCAGGAGAAAACTCTATCGAGCCTTTCTATATCCAGCTCTTTTTCAATGCAAGTCATGACATCTCGCCCGGAAGCAACTAGGTTATCTGATGCAGTGCGGTAGGACGCGGGTAGTAGTGATAGGAGAGCATCACTATTGTTATCAACCGGCAGGGGCTGGACGTAGAATGGAAGTGACTGTATAAGATACTGTCAGCCCAGTGCTTCAAACATAAAGTTGTAACAATATGATAAATACGTGGCTCCGTACTCTGTTGGTGCTTTCTAAGTTGCTTGTCATTTCAGGAAGCTGGACATCAAGTCAAGAGAACAGAGCCGTGACTCTTGCATGGATGCAACGGGACATTAAGAAAACTGTGGTGGTTATTCTGAGCATGAGGCCTGAGCTACATTACTGGTGCTATAAATGATTTGTATGATGCGTAAGAGAAAGAAAAGAAAAGAAAAGAAAAGAAGGGGAAGAAAAACGAAAACCAAAAATAGAAAATAAAAAGAGGGAGAGAGTGAAGTGCAAAAACAAGTATATCTCAGCAAAAGCGTGGGTTCCTTTTCCTTACCTCGAGGCTCTCACGCCTGGTACTAGTAGACTAAGGCTGTTGGGTTATTTTTCCATCGGGCTTCATGTGTGGAGCGTCTCCACGCTATGAAGATTGAGCTTTATGACAGGATCCCGCGGCAGACAAATAGATTATCCGGCCCTAGTACGCATGCCATGCATGTACCACTGTGGCGATGACCAATATATACTGTGACATGTCACTTCTCATCAAAGCAAGGAGTTTTACGAACCAATTGTATCGGTGTCTAATCGACTCATAGTTCGGTTCAGCGCAACGCGGAATATTGTGTATGTCGATCAGCTGAATACACATACCCACTGTATCGGCTCCGTACTCAGACATGATATTTCAGAGGATGACGATCCCTGCTTAATCCAACTACAAGAGCTGAACAATCTGTTAGATAGTTTGACCCCGCATAGTCGGCCGGGTACTAGTCAGATTTCCCCAGCATCCACCCCTTTACGATCAGATTGTTTGTTGCAATCGCTACAAATCTCTCACTGCCTTTACCTCGCCTTATGCTTAAAGATTCTCGAGCCCATGGTCAATCAAAACTAGACCCAAGAGGGACTTCGTTCAGGCGACCGATCTATCAGCAAATGTCTACCATAACTTTACCACCGCCAGCGTATACCACAACCCATGGATACGCGGACCAAGAAGAACGCCCTATTCCTCAAGAGGACCAATATGTGCGACACTTAATCAACGATTCTTGTTTCCTCTGCGGGGCTTCAGCTCCCCAGCCTGTGATCCGTTATGGAGGCATGCGACAGCTCCGACAGCAGGTCAACCGGACTCAGCACCTTGTATCATCTATCAAGAACCAGACAAAGGCCATACTGGATGAGCGATCACTGGAGGCCAAGTCATGGAAGGCAAAATACGAGAAACTTGAGGACGAGTTGAAGAAAGTGCGGCAAGAAGAAAACGTCCGCAAGGCTGAATACCAGAATCTCAAAAAGGAGTGTGCCCAATTGCGGCTGAGAAATGCACAGCTAAGCTCTCTAGAAGGTGAACACAAAAAAGCCAAGCGGATCCTCTCTCTCAATGACAATGCAGTTCAAGCTGAATTGCATGATATGCATCAACAGAATCGGCAGCTATCATTTAAACTGCGGGAAAGGCTGGTGGAAGTCGAGACGCTTGAGAGGAGACTCCTGGAAGAAGAAGATGCGAACAAAGTGTGGAAGTACAAGTATGTAGGCTCCCTTTAGACATCGAGGTGAAAAGCCTAGTAGCTGGAAATGAGGCAACCAAATGACCAGGGCTGGAGGGGGCTCGGGAAGCGATGCAAAGGTGAAGGCTCGGCTGCAACTATCTATCATTTGTCTTAATTTCTGTATACCGTATGTTAATTTCCAGTGACATATATAGACTAAAGCAGCATTCCTCTCTAATCTTAGTCTCACATTTATGGATATTTGCAGTCTACAAATCACATTTTTGATTAATGTGTGTAGTCATGCCCCTAGATATCCCTGCTCGGTGCACTGCTAGTGTATGCACTTGTGCCGATCCCAAACATTGACGTGGCTCATTTTCGCACCATTCAGCTAGTTCTTGGCGCATCTGTGCGAGACACGATCCATGAACACTGAACTGCTCAGCTGAGGCAGCTCTGTCACAAATCATAGTAAATAGTGCATGATAGTATCGAAATATCAAGTGTTTGAAATAGTTCCAAGTGTGCCAGGTGCAAAGAATAAATTCCTGCTTGTTCTTCGGTCTCTTTGCTCCCTAATTCTATCGCTTCTCGCACCAAGAGCTAGTCGCAAAACACTCCACCGTACCCGTATACAGACATACAAAGAGAGGTGATGTCCGTGTGCACACAAGAGTCCAATTTTCACGGAGAGCAATTTAGCCTAACAGAATAGATAGTCATCGGGAACCCTAACAAATAATGTCGGACGAGGAGGGGGAAACATTACCACCGAACGCACAAGACCAATATGGCCAGCAAGTCGATACAGACAAAGACGCAATACCCACTGAGCCGGACACTAGAGATGGTGGATCAACAACGGATGGAAATTCCGGGCAAGGCACTGGACAACAAATTGACAACCATCCGGGAGATCCAAATCCCATTCCAGATTCATCCACTGAGCCTGGTTCCCGACAGGACGCACCTCCAAAGGCAAATGTAAAACAAGAGTCGTTCGACATACCACCGATGACACTGAAGCTAAATGGTTATGAAGAGTTGAAGAAAACGCTTCAGGCCACCAAAGGAAACACCTCTAACTTCAGTAAGACGGTCAATAAGCTGAAGCAGGAGAAGATGGAGCTAAAGACGCAAAACGAAGTCTTAATGGAAAGAAATCGTACCTTGGAAGCGTACATCAAGTATCTCGAAGAGGGTATTGCGAACACAAATGCCCAACTCAATGAGATCAACTCCATGATGACGGGGTCATGAGCTAGGAACGACGGACAGTCCGATTTTGCTGAATGTCTCGGCCTATCTCTTCCTTTGAAATGTGTGGCTTTTAGGTTTCATTTGTATTAATGAGATATACCTAGATAAACAATGTATACTAGTCGCTGCCGAACATACCGGTACAGCCAGAAGGATGAGGGAATAGTGGGAAGGTTCTCGAAGCCTAAATTGCGATTCTGCGTAGTACTAAAAAACATTGAGATTACTTACTGGTCCCGCGCGCAAGCGCCTGTTGGGCGAGAGCAATTGTATGAGAGACAAAAGTACTTTCGTTCTGTGCCAGAGTAACAGAGAGCGAGGAATACCGAGGTGTCAGGGTATTTACTTGGATGTAGGCGCGTTTCCCGGGCTATCGTTAGTATTTCTCCCTTTCGGCAGTCAGACGCTTGGCGCGGCATCACTACAAATAAGCAACTGGCAGAGCTAATGATCAAGGGGTGCGTTCGGCTTCACTTGTCGTAATCTCTCCCACACCAGGTTCAGGTCTGCTCCCTTGCCTGACACAATCTGCTGCGACACAGAAATGGGGAAGGCCGTAGTGGTGGTGGCTTGCCTACTATCCATGACAGGTTATGTTCCTCTAGGTTATGTTCCTCTTTTAAGCAGAAATGTAGGAATGCTCTATTCAGGGCTGCAATACCAAACGAGGCAGTAGGGAGCAGGGATGTGGTCTGGGAGTGAAACAGAAATCATTTTCGAATTGCATCTTCTTTCCGGGATTACATCCGATGGAAATTTTGATCTGTCGGATTTTATATAGCTGGAGTAATACTATAGTAATCAGACCTCATTTCGCACCTAGCCAACCGAGTGGGGTACATGTTATGTACGATGGTCGGCGTCTCCGACGCCGGGTTGTACGGGGTTTGGTATCAGCTAAATGGGTAGTCTACATTGCTTTGCTACTATTTTTGGCCTCCTGCGCCTCGAGTTATTGTGTCTTTTTTCCCTTTTCTTTTCCCACCTCCTTCCACAAAGCCCTTTTTCCTCCTTCCTATTCAGTATCATCAACCCTTTCTTTCTTTCAACTCCGGTATACTACTAGCAGTCGCAGCTTTCTTGCCACCCTAGCCTGTTTGTTCGCCATGAAGTGGTCTTTCTGGACTTTGTCAAAGCAGCAGAATGAAATACCGAATGACGAGGAGTTAGAGAAAGGGCTGCCCCGAGGTCTAGGAGCACTGAGGCCGGTGAACGAACTACGTTCTGATCAAAACTACGACATGAAGTTCGTCTTTGGACAGTCCCATGTACTGAAAAATGATTTCTGATTACCACATCCATCACAGTATTGTTGCCATTCATGGCTTGGAGACTAATTCGGAGAGAACCTGGGTTTACAAGAAGGGTGGGACCGAAACCGAATGGTTAAGAGATCCACAGATGCTACCACAGGTCGTTCCGAATGCCCGGATATTCACATATGACTGGGAAGCAAACTTCTACAGGGACAGTACTGATCAAACACTCAGAGAACATGCAACCTCGCTTCTGGCCCATTTAAAAGATAAGTTAGGTTCGGAACCGAAGCCAATCCTGTTCATCGCATCTTGCTTTGGTGGGCTGGTCTTGGCCAAGGTAACTCTAATACCGAACTAGACTCCTTTCACTTCAAGAGAACGCTGAGAAACATATACTATTTAGGCCTTGGGAGAAGCAAATTCACATACGGGCTCCTACCAAAATATTTTGCTGTCCACCATTGGCATTGTGTTCCTTGCAACTCCATTCAAAGGGACAACTGTAGCCAACGTCGCTCGGTGGCAGGTTTCCATTGGCAATTTTCTAGGGGAGTGGTCGTCTGGAAGCCTGATAACGAGACTTGATGCCAATGACGAGTTACTTAGAGAACTACGCATTTATTTTGGCAAAGCCGTTCATGATCCCCATGTAAATATGCCAATAGCCTACTTTTGTGAAACGGTCGATACAGAATTGTTACGAAGGCTGCTGCCGGCATGGTTAGCAAACGTAGTGTCTGCGATTTTCTTTCGCATCACTCGCAGAAAAGTATATGTCCCTTTTGCACCACATTCAGGCCTGTGAGCTGACACTGTGCAGATCGTTGAAAAATCTTCTGCTTGTCTCCTTGATCATGACGCAGTCTCGCTCAGTGTAACACACTCCAACATGAACAAGTTCTCAGGCCCAGAAGATCCAAATTATGTCGAAGTGCGTATTAAGATCAAGGAATTTGTGGACAAGAGGTCGCAAACCCTGGATAATCGCAAGAAATGTAAGTTGATCATGTCTTTTGAGTACCCTACTGGCCATGCCTCCACAGTCATTTTTCCTAACTTACTAAAAGCCAGAAAGCCTTTCCGTTGTGGCCTTCCAGGCAAACCGGATCGTGAGTTTGTCGGACGCGAGAACAATTTAAGCAACATTCTTGAACGTGCCCAGCAGATCAACACAGCCAGTGCCCGCCGCCTAACCGTGATTACTGGGCTTGAAGGAGTAGGGAAGACCCGACTTGCATTGGAAGCGGCATATAAAATAGCAGAAACTCATGAAGATTGGGCTATAATGTGGATATCTGGAAATAGCTACGCCAAATTCAAAGAGGGCTACTGCCGGATTGCTGAGTTTCTTGAGGTTAATCCGCGTTCTGGAGATGTCGTCAAACTCGTGAATGAGGAGCTGCTTATGAGGCCTGTAGACTGGCTTCTCGTGATTGATGAGGTAGATGACACAGACGAAGGGGGCCCAGAAGGGAAAGGTTGGAGACTTACCAAAGACATGCTCCCGGAAGGCCAGCGGGGCCTTATCTTGATGACCACATGCGACCGCAAAATCGCACATGATATGAAAGGAGAAATCATTAATCTTCACAAATTGAGTGACGTTGAAGCCATACAGCTCTTGGAGCAGTCATTCAAGGATCGTCCCTCAAAGTTGCTCGACAACCCCGAAGCTCAACGCAAATTGGTACGCTTCTTAACCTCACTTCCCCTAGCTATCGTGCTTGCCTCCAATTACATGGCCGCAACCGAAACAAGCGTGACACGCTATCTCCAACTTTGCGAGAAGCAAGATCGGAGATTTATAAGAATGCTGTGTCAGGGATCCAGTGGCCGATACCAGGATGACGAGGAAGTCAGGGAAGCTAGGGACGCAGTTTCCGCAACATGGCTTGTTTCCTTCCATCGGATAGAAAAGAAATATCCCAATTGCAAAAAGTGTCTCGAACGCATGGCTTTCTATCATTCCAAGAATATTCCTTATGACATGCTGGAACAGACAGCAGAAGGGGTGGATGTAGAGGACGTGATCGACCGGTTGGTGGAATATTCCTTCGTCACCAAGCTCAGCGACCAAGGTTCGGTGGACATCCATCAGCTGGTCCAGCTAGCAATGAAGAATTGGTTATCTCGAAAGCAAGAGCTGAACACAGGCGCAACATCAGCCATAAATGACTTGTTGGCTTCACTCCCTTTTCCCACCCCACAGTCTGAGAAGAAATGGAGGGAAAGAATCCGACATGCAGAGGAGGCTTTGGGGTATAAAGACGAGTCTGTTTATGATCACTCCACATGGCGTCTTCTTTACATGGTAGGCCAGGCCAATTTTCTGTTCGGGGATGATAAAAAGGCCAAAGAATATCATGAAAGGGCATGCAAGATGGAAGGTTTGCAGATTGCCAGCAAGGACAATTCTGCCTTGAGTTCCCGGTGCCGAGGCGAATACGAGCAAGCAGAGAACGACTATCGAAAAGCAATAAAGGGAGGAAGTGAAATAGAGAATCAGATCTTGGATTTATCCATCAAGAAGAATCTCGCCTGTACCTTTCTTATTCAGGGGAAACACGAACACGCAAGAGCAGAATACCAGAGGGCATTATGGACAGAGATGGAACTCTTAGGCGAGGAGCACCCCTCGACCATATCTACTATGGATAGCCTCGCATTTGTCCTTAAGTCTCAGGGTAAATCTGAGGATGCAACGGACTTATATCGCAAGGTTCTCGAGAGAAAGGAAAGGAGACTGGGTAAGAACAATATGTCCACGATCACCAGCATTTACAATCTCGCAATGATGTACCAACGCGAGGGGGGCAACATCCAAGCTGAAGAGCTGCATCAAAAGGCCAACATCCAGGCTCAAAATCTACATTGGGAGGCACTGAGACGAAAAGCCTCGTTGCTGGGGGATAGTCATCCTTCCTTACTCTCAAGCTATGAGAATCTCGCACTTGTGTTTGAAAGGCAAGGAAACTATAGGCGTGCAGTGGAAGTACTTGAGAAGACAGTGGAGTTGAAAAAGAAAATACTGGGCGAACGACATGCTTCGACTGCGAGAAGTGAGAAAGACCTAAGAATTGCGAGGGAGAATTTATAGGGTCAGAATTTGAGAACAGTAATACTCTCCAAGATGAGAATGTTGCTAGGTTCCAGCTTTGGGGACAGCTACGGTGAGAAGATGTATAGGGAAGATGATTCCCAATAATATATGGCACAGTATGAAGTATAAGACAAGTCTTTTAAGCAGCGCTGATGTAGCAGTTACACCGCATCGGGAGTTGCACCCTAAATATGTAGGAGCAACACTAGTTGACATACAGGAAAGGAAGAATCACAGCGCAAAATACTTGCACACAATCCAAATACATCTGAGTCCATCTTAGCTTCGCCCGAAGGCTACTAATCACCGGCCCTACGTAGAAGGGTAGACTCATCGCCGGTGGGCGTCCCCAAACTCCGCCAACCGCTCAAAAAAAGAGGTTAATCCCCAAGCCAACGAGATGTACGCAACTACCACTGTGCGTCATATCCATACCACATACGATCTCCCCGTTCTCCTGAGTCCTCAAGACGAGTACCTTCCCCCAAGGCACCTTGATTCTCCCAGAAGTTGAGTTCAATCGCTGAATGTGAATGGATCGGCAGCAAAGCTGGAGGCGGCGAACGAATCACTGCCAACTGCTGGAAGACAGAGGCGCCCGGCTGAGCAGCTCTGGCTTTTTGTAGCTTGCGATACCATTCTCGAAGCTTGGGGCCCTCATTCTTGAGAGCGATAGCAAAGCAAATAAGACCTGCGACAATCGCAACCTTATTCAACTCCGTCCAATCCATTGTTACAACCAATGTCTCAGAAGAGCAGTGAGAACTGGGGGAGAAAAGGAAAGGAAGCCAAACGACAGGGAAGGAGACAGGCTTTATACCTTGGAGGCAAACCCATTCGTGAAGGAACATATGGACCAATTCCCTCAGAAGTGGGCTATATACAGAAGGCTATGAAGTAGAATCCTTCTGCGGCAGCGAGAAAGGCAGAATTTCTTGTTGTGAACAAAGAGAGCTTGTGGCAGCGAGTAAGTTATAACGTGTGGCAGCGAGCAGGTAGACTGTGCAGCAGTGAACGAGGCACAGTGCATGGTTGTGAACAAAGATGGTTTGTGGCAGCGAGCAATGAACATTGTGTGGCCGCGAGCATGATAAGGCGCTGTGTGCTCCTATGGTGCTCTATAGTTAGCAAGCATGTGACGATTAGGTGAACGTTTGCTCGTTTTCGCTCTTTCTTGCAAGGTGAATACATCGACGTACCCTTTGGACTCATAGACAAGCTCCAATGCGTGCCACAGCCCAATCATCAGATCAAAGTAATCATAATAATCACATGTCTGTAAAGATAATAGTGCATCCACAAATAACCTCCCCGAAAGACATTCTCTGGTAGTCAGTGTCTTAGCTGAGCTTGAAGCTGTACTGCTGCTGTAAATTTGCATGTCTGATCGTTCCTTGATCTCCCTGCCACAGCAAGCAAGTGTTCACGAGGTATCGACCTCACAACAAGTGGACAAGAAACATGAAATCTTTGTTTATTCATTCTGGAAGTTGTCAGCCCCCAGCAAGGCACCATCAAGCAGCTATTCCCAGTCAGCATAAATGGCAGCAGCTATCCTGTGGTATTATCGACTCACCACATAACATGTCATCAGACACGGAATAAATTAATCCATCACAAAAGAGCAGGTGGAAGTCACTTTGTTCCCTCATCAACTCTCCCATAACCCTCCCTCCTAGTCAGCATGGATTATCCCCATTTCAATCTCCGAATGTCAACCATTTTTGCGGCTCTCCAGTCGCGCTTTTATCCTGATGGTAATCATATATGTACAATATGATGAAAACCCCACAATAAAGCGGCTAGCAACGAAGTATCACTGTGTCAAGAAGTTGCTCAGTATATATAACTTGCCAGCTCATTTATATTCGCACCGAGGATGAGTGAGCATGGCAGAAAGGTCTATCCTGTGTGGTGCAGGATGGCTGGAATAAGAGATTCGATATTCGAGATCTCACTCAGTCGCGTCAGAAGTATAATTGCTGCGTCAATTGAGAGCTCCTCTTTGAAGCCGGTTTATTGTCAGAATAGGTTGGATTTGGGGGAGAGGTTGTTGACATTGCGCCATTCCTGTAAGGATGCAAAAAGTGCACAATTGAGAGCGATGATGCGGGATTGTAGAGAGGTTCCGATCGACAAGATAAAGACGTTTATATATGCCAGAATATTTGACGTTGACGGGAAGTTCCAGGTTATATATAGACAAGGCCCAGGCACATCTCATGAGATAGGGATTTTCCACACTTTTGTTTTGGGAAAGGGGAAAAAACCAGTTCGTGGGATTAGAAGGTGGTTTAAATAGCCCATTTTTGTTTATGTATATTGGGTCAAAGGTGAATGTAATATCTCTCTACGTAGTGACGTCCAATGCGTTGCGTTAATCAGCGCACAAGAAACGTGCGTTAATACGTTGAGACCGCTTGTCATGGATGAATTTCTATCTTCACCGGCCGTAGTTAACTTGTCTGGCCAATTCATCCCCCCTGCTCATCAATTTGTACAGTGCTGCTTATCTGTGAGCGCCAAATATACCTGTCTTCACTGTATCTGTTATCTTCTCATTCTATTATCTCATTGCCGCCTTGCACGTCTATTTGTGAAGGCCGGCTGGTTAATCTGAGTCTCAAAAGATTCTTTATATCGTAGAATGCCACATCTCAATTCTCCTATTACGTTGGTTTCGAATTCACGTACTAGTTCAGAAGAAGTTTGGATGGGCAGTAATTTCAGAAAAGTACGATATACTAATCTTTTATTCATTAAGTATCCATACATCCGGTGAAGCTCCGTCTGTCATTCCAAGGGTTGGGAATTCAACTGGAGGTCCAGGTATGTTAGTCTTATTTTCGCTATGCCGACGCAAATGGGGGGACTGAATATTCGTAATGGAACTAAACAAGAGTTTTACAGAAGGATGAGCAGCGAATATTGCCATCTGGACAAGAAATACATTAGTCGAATCCTAACTATTGTTAGGGTTATGGTGCCCTCGCGCCCTCGGAAGGGTATACTATGCAGTTACAGATGAACCACTGATGGCATGACTGTAAGCACCATGCTCTACAACATCCTCATTTAGTTCACCTTTAATCGGCAATTGATGATTATAGTATTAATCGGGTCCGTGGGCATCGCACACTCTAATTTCTCCGCAGTTTGGTTCTTGGCTGCATCCTGGACCCTTTTCGGGACCGCTTCGGGACCACATCTGCAAAGAAGAACAAGAGGGTCGTGCTTGGCAGTATCTTGGCAATGCTGCCAAGGGACCATTGGCTAGATATTACTGTTGGAATAAAAGAAATAGGCTTTACCAAATAGCTAATGTGCTAAGTGCATCAGTAGCCGATAGTGTGTATATGCATAGAAGTCAATTGCCGCCCTTATATTAAAAGATGCGTTACTATCGCACATAGTGACTGGTCTACTCCTGGCAAGATCAAATCTTCTGATAAACTTACCTTGACTTTGTGAAGATGAGGTTCCTCTTAGTATTGTCAATATTATCCCTAATCCAACATGCAACGTCTACACCCTCACTGTTCCACCCACGTCAAACGGTCCTGCAGAGACCAGCAATGCTAAAGCCCCAACAAACACCTTTCAGAGATATAGTCTCCCTCGATGGACTTTGGAAATTTGCTCTCGGATCCAGCGGTAATGAGACGGCCGCGCCCTGGACAGCCACATTAGCCACCAATCTCGAGTGTCCCGTTCCAGCCTCTTACAACGATATTTTTGTTGATCGTCAGATTCACGACCATGTCGGATGGGTTTACTACCAGCGCGAGGCTATTGTTCCCAGTGGCTGGTCACACCAGCAATATCTCGTGCGCGTTGAGGCCGCCACGCACCATGGTCGTATCTATATCAACGATCATCTAGTCGCCGAGCATGTGGGTGGCTACACACCTTTTGAAGCAGATATCACGGGCCTCGTCTCTGCGGGTGATAGCTTCCGTCTGACTATCGCCGTAAGTAACGTGCTGACTCACGAGACTATCCCTCCCGGCAGGATCGAGGTGGAGGAGTATACAGGTAAGATAACACAGGTCTACCAGCATGATTTCTTCAATTATGCTGGACTTGCACGCTCCGTCTCGCTGTACTCTGTTCCGAAACAGCACATCCAGGACATCAGAGTTGTCACTAACGTGGACGGCACAACCGGGCTGATCGATTACCTTGTCACATCATCAAACTCAACGACAGAGCGCATCAAGATCAACGTGGTCGATGAGGATGGAAGGACTGTTGCCAAGGCATCGGGTACTCGTGGTATTGTTACCATAGATTCTGCCAGACTGTGGCATCCGGGAGATGCATATCTTTACCAGTTTCGAGTGAGCATAGTGGGCTCGGACGACAGTATAATTGACACTTATAGTGTTGCGACGGGTGTACGCACAGTCAAAGTCAGCGGGAACCAATTTCTCATCAACGACAAGCCATTCTACTTCACCGGCTTCGGGAAACACGAAGACAGTAACGTGCGCGGCAAAGGTTACGACCCAGCGTACATGGTCCACGATTTTCAGCTGATGAACTGGATGGGAGCCAACTCATTCCGCACCTCACACTACCCCTACGCCGAAGAGGTGATGGAATTCGCGGACCGGCACGGAATTGTTGTCATTGACGAGACACCCGCCGTTGGCCTGTCATACTCCATTGGGGCTGGTCAGTCCAGCGGGGACAGTCAGCAGACATTTACCCCGGAAGGAATCAACAATAAGACGCGCGAAGCTCACAAGCAAGCAATCCGGGAGCTCATTGCTCGGGATAAAAACCACGCTAGCGTTGTCATGTGGTCGATTGCTAATGAGCCTGCATCGCATGAGGCAGGAGCTCGTGAGTATTTCGCGCCACTGGTTGACCTGGCCCACGAGCTTGACTCCACCCGTCCAGTCTGTTTTACAAATTACGGAGATGCTACCTATGAGCTTGATCGAATCTCGGATATGTTTGATGTTCTCTGCCTCAACCGCTATTTCGGGTGGTATACCCAAACTGGCGAGATTGAGGAGGCAGAGGCGGCTCTCGAAAAGGAGCTATTGGGCTGGGAGGGCAAATACGACAAGCCCATCGTCATGACAGAATACGGGGCGGATACTATAGCTGGCCTCCATTCTGTGCTTGGGCTTCCGTGGAGCGAGGAGTTCCAGGTCGAACTGCTCGACATGTATCATCGGGTGTTTGACCGTGTGGAGTCAGTGGTGGGAGAGCAAGTCTGGAACTTTGCTGACTTTCAGGCGGCTGTAGGGGTCAGCAGGGTGGATGGTAACAAGAAGGGTGTCTTTACGAGGGATAGGACACCAAAGGCTGCAGCTCAGGCTTTGAGAAAACGATGGAGGCCTATGTAGGTAGCCTATACCATGGGGTTTAGGGGCAGGAACGCCAGTCTTGGCTTGTTTTTGGGGTACTTGAATACCCGACTAGAAAGCCAAGCATCTTCGCCAACTCTCCTTCCATCTCACGGCACGGGCCGATGCCAATAGCTTTCTGGCAATTCCGGTGTTATTGCCACATGGCACGATGCCAGTCAGGTAAAAGGAGCTGGACCCACATTTGCAGGCCATTTGCGTTGAATTTTTTCTTGTTGTTTTGCCGACCGGCTCATCGGCCAGTAGGTAGTCTAGTCTAAAACAATGAGCCGGACATCCATCCAATTGGGTCCCCATTATGTCTCTCCTGCCCCTTTCTTGATGTTCCTCCTTGTCTCCACCCTAAAACACAGGCATATCCAACCAGTGGTCAGCATCGCGATCAGAGCCCAGAATAGCCATGACGTTGTGTAAATCTATGATCGATCTATTTCCCCACATGCTGCCGTTGAAGTTGTCAAGGAGTGCTGCCTACATATTGAGTCTTCTGGACTCTTGTGGCCATCTGTCTGCAGAAGACTATCCCACCACACCTTTTCTTTCATTATTTGATTTTCTGACATCATTTTGTCTTACCCGCTCGTTCATTGTTTTTATTTTGCTACTACTGCATTTTCCTCTCCCCTAGAGGCCCTCACGTTCCTTTTTTCTTTTGGTCTTCACGCTAGTCTCTGTTCCATGGCTGTCAATGCAGAGCAAGATCACTCTCCTCGACAGTACCAACACCTAGAAGAGGACCACATCCTCTCCAATCATGTCAAGAATGATGTGGGAAAAGACACTTCTACTGAAACAGCGGAGGATGTCTTTCCCACTGATCATCAGAGCAAACAAAGGGTCGCAGTTGTGATGACATCCCTGAGTGTACGCATATCCATATAATAACCGTCACTGTCTCGTACACTGCCTAATATTTGTGCGTAGTTATGTGTTTTCCTAGCAGCGCTAGACATTGTAGGTCAATAAAACCGATCATATTTGGCAAAATCCTTACGCTTCCACAGACCATTGTCTCAACGGCCCTTCCAGAGATGGTCGCCCATTTCAAAGCTTCCGACAGCGCCTACACCTGGATCGCCTCGTCGTATCTGCTAGCCAATGCCTCTTGTGTGCCGCTGTGGGGTCGTATCAGCGATATCTGGGGCCGCAAACCGATCCTTATGACAGTTGTCGCACTGTTCCTGGGCGGCAGTCTGATCTGTGGCGTCGCAATCAATGTCAATATGGTCATCGCGGGCCGCGCTATCCAAGGCGTTGGCAGCGGCGGCATCACCGTGCTAGCTAATATCTGTGTGTCGGATATGTTCAACGTGCGTCGCCGATCGGCGTATCTAGGGATTTTCGGCGCAACCTGGGCGATTGCTGGTGCCATCGGACCCATCATCGGTGGCGCCTTCACAACCTACTCGACCTGGCGATGGTGCTTTTATATCAACCGTTCGTCCTATCCCCCAGTCCTCCTGATGGCAGTCTTCTAAACCCCCATCTTCAGTACCTATCGGCGGCCTCGCCTTCTTTGGCCTTCTCTTCTTCCTCAAACTACACACTGCGTCTCTCACCCCTCTCAAAGCCGGCCTCCTCTCCCTCGACTGGATCGGCCTCGGCCTTATCGTCGGCGCGACACTCATGCTCCTCTTCGGCCTCGAACTAGGCGGCTCACTCTATCCATGGTCTTCCCCAACGATCATCTGTCTCCTTATCTTCGGGGTCCTCACTGCGGGCCTCTTCCTCATATACGAAGCCCGAGTCGCGCAGATCCCTATTATCCCCACAACGCTCTTCTCCAACCGCTACAACCTCACCATCCTACTGATCAACTTCTGCCACTCCACCGTCTTCCTGGGCTCCTGCTTCTACCTTCCCGTCTATTTCCAGAACATCCTCCTCGCCAGCTCTCTACTAAGCGGCGTCTACCTCCTCCCACTAGTAGGAGCCCTCGCCATCTCATCCGGCCTGGCCGGCTTCGTCATGCGCACCACCGGCCGCTCCCGCGAAGCCATCATCCTAGGCATGTTCCTCGCCACCCTGGGCTATGGCCTATTCATCGACCTTCCCGCCACTAAGTCCTGGCCGCGCATTATTCTCTTTCAGATTGTCGCTGGTCTCGGCATAGGTCCTAACTTCCAGGCTACATTGATCGCCCTACAGGCCAACACCACGCCTGCCGAGCTGAGTCGCGGCACTGGAACATTTTCGTTCGTGCGCCAGCTGGCTGCCGCGATATCTGTCGTTGTGGGGTCAGTATTATATGCGCGCGCTGTAAGCGGGCAACGCGGAGAGATGGCCGCGGTGCTGGGGGAGACGGTTGCCCAGGAGATCGTGGAAGCGTCGACGGCTGCTGCTGCGATTGTGGAGACGTTGCCTGTTGGCGAGGATCGGACGGTAGTGTTTCATGCGTTGACGGCTGCGTTGCGATGGGTGTGGGTGTTTTATACTGCTGTTGCGGGGGTGGGGTTTATTCTTAGTCTGACTTTGCGCGATATTCGGTTGGGCGATGCGCATCAAAGGGCTACTGGTCAGGATATTGAAGAACGAGAGATGGAGAGAGGATATACATAGGGTACATTGCACTTCTAACCTTGAATATTCATATGGCTATAATTAGCGCGCATTACATTGCCATTATTCCACTGAGTGTGCTAAACAATAATTGCGATTTCTAGCATAAAACAAAATCAAATAGACCAGGTGCGCCTAACAATACTATACACTTTGCATGTGTCATTCTTGCCATCCCTCCCAATATACCCAAGATAATCGAACACAATCAACACCAAAGATAATTTACACATCCCCAACATACACCAGATAAAATACATACATCACTTAGTAGAAGGATTCGGCATCCCCTCCGTATGCGGCCACTTCCGAAACAAATCCGCGAGGTGATCAATCGGGGCCGTCAACAAACCAATCGCCGTCTCAAAAGGCGGCTTATCAGGCGCACTAGGATGAGACCGCGACGGCACAAACATCTTCGTCCTTCCAAAGGACTTGGCAAGCTTCTCGCTTTCCTCTACCGACACGGCGTCCTCCAACTTCGGTAGATCCTGAGTCTCTTCTTCCTTGATGTGCTCGGACAGATCCTTCATCAAAGCCCGGACGGTAGACTCGAATGCCGGGTCCGTGGGTTTCATGTTTTGGAATTTCTTCAGTTGTTCTTTGACCTAAAGACACTACTGTTAACAGCTGTTGGGTGAAAAGCTTGGTGGATGACTCACTGATTGATGCTCTTTACGGTCCTTATCCGCCATAGCCAGGCCGTCAGGAAGAGACTTCTCGAACTGGGGATAGACGACCAGTTCCTCAGCGATTGAATGACGGGCTAATTCCCAAGTAAATTGGTTCTGCCATTTGGTTTTCTCCGTCTCGGTAGCAGAGCTTAGAATCTTGTTATAGTAGTCTTCGATCTCGCGGTGATCGGTCTTGATTGCCTCGGATATACGGGATGCCATGATGATGGGAGATTGGGATATGAAGCGATGTTGTTTTTGAGTAAAGAGTAAGGGCCTAAGTATAGGGCGAGAGGGGTTGACAAGATGGCGGATAGTCATTATAAGGGCTGGAGAAGAGTACTGGTTGCACTATGTAATTTATCGGTGGTTCTTCTAGCCCTCTTTAAACTGTGTGTAGCTAGACGTCATTATGAATTACTGTGTAACATGTCCCTTGCTGTGCATACTAAATACGATTGTGGTTCATACTTAAGGTTTGGGCCGCATCATCATCACGACAGCTGCGGTTGCCGAGTGATGACCAGGCGGCGCCTTTTACTAATAACCACGCGGGTAGCCAAGCTTGCTAATTCTTGTTCCTGACCAATGAACTCTTTGACATTTATAAGTGTGAAAAATTTGGATAATGACGAGACTATTGGATAATAGTGTCGCATGGAATAAGATAAAATAATTGGAATAAGAGATGACATCATAGCAAGAATGGTTTAAGAGGAAATTAGAAGTGTGTTGTTACCCGGTTGCTCCAGATGGTACTAGTATCCTATGTCCATCCATACAGTACAATCCAGAACATCCTAACTAAATGAAGGCTCTAGTTCACGAGTGCTGTGGAAATGGGGAGGGGGTGGATACATGATCCTTCGGGAATGTATGCGGTAGCCCGCAGCTTATCAACCACTTCAAAGCACTGCGACCATGACAGGTAGATAGCTATAATCAGTCCCCATGTAAAAACAACAAGACTGCTGCAGGCAATTGGAAACGTCATTCACGGTTTTCATAAGAGTCTCGGCATATAAACCGTCTTGGCCATCTAGGCATTGTCAGACCCACCAATAAGCACTCAACTTAAACCTAAGCACCAAGAATAGCGCTTAACGACCTGGCGTTGTAAATTATCCTCGTGTCGAGTTCTTATCTGTGCAAAGTCGCCGAATTATACTTTGCAGAAGTGTGGTTCAAGCTCCTTTCATAAGAGCGAGTCAGGAGAGTTTCGGCGTGTCTCTAAATAAGCCCCACACACCTCCTATCATGGAATAAGCTCTGCTACATTCGGGTCCACTTTGGGTCTGGATCGAGATGATCAGTAGATGAGGAACTGTTGATCTGATGTTGTGAAATGCGGGTGATTTTATTAGAGGAGGTGTGTACTGCCCTAGTCTACAATAGTCTGTAGGACTGTGGGGGGCGGGAAGGGTCAGGATATGAAACAAGTGAAGAGCACTACTGAAACAGAGCTTGGGCCATCGCATCCCTCCTAGAAGAGTATTAAGTGATGTCGACCGGGAATCTTTCTCTTGAATTCTACCAGTACAGCTAAGGGAGATGATTTGCGTGGATGGCAGTACTGGCAGAATGGGAAGTAGGCCATCATTCCGACTTGTCTAGCAAACCCCTTCGTTAAAATCACAGGAAATTTCCAATTGATATGGGTTTTGGAGTGGCAATTGGACCCTTTACACTTCATTTTCAGAACTAGACTTACTGTTTCAACGCCGACGCCCAGTCATTAGCACGCGAGTCGTGCTGCTGCTGATGAGATGAACCGTTTCCCGCTTGTAAATCCCCCAGTAGGTAGAGTTTCGATGTGCTGCTGATTTGATCCTTTACCATCCCCTCTTGAGACGCGCTTTAGCTCTTACAAATGCGTATAAGGCCCTTCTGCTCCCTGCTTCTTGAGTTTCGAGCCGATTGACTAAACGAGCTCCCCGTTGTCTGCTGGTCAGAATGGAATACACCCTACCGTTGGTTGGCCACAGCCTAGCAATTTTCATCGTCTCGGCTGTCACGGTTGGCTTAGCGATAATTGCTGTGGCATTGCGATGTTTTGTGCGATTATACATCCTGCGTGCGTTTGGGTGGGATGACGCGCTTATGGTAGCAGCGCTGGTAATTTTCATCGTCCTATCCTTAGTAGATGCTTTATATCGAAGACTGACTAATTGTAGGCGCTGTTCATATCATTGAGCGTGCTGTGTATGATAGGGACGGAAGCCGGGGTCGGCCATGCGCTCGCGGATTTCGAGTCGATCAGTCTAAAGAGCATGAATCCCTCGGAAAGTCTGCACGCAGTGCAGTATGCGATGATAGTACGTTCCACCAAGCCGCTCTGCTCATCATAACCTGCCTCTAACACCTATCAGTACTGGTGGCTTGGACAAATGCTCTACCTGTGGGCGTCGGCCGTCGCCAAAGTAGCCATTGCCCTTGCCCTCCTTCGACTGGCTGTTCGCCCGCTGCACCGCTTTCTCCTCTGGACTGTCATAGGCACCGTGATATGCATCGGACTCGTCTTCTGGCTTATTTTGCTGCTCGATTGCCTGCCAATCGGGTACTTTTGGGGGCAGATCAACCCTCTCGAGTCGGGAAACTGCTTATCAACCGATATCCTCCTCATCATCGCATACACCTACAGTTCGCTCACCATTTTCTGTGACTTTACACTTGGGATCTTCCCAGCAGCGTTGATCTGGGGGCTGCACATGTCGCCACGCACAAAGGTGGCGTTAGGTGCAATTCTCGGGCTTGGAGCAGTGTATGTGAAGTCCCACGCGCCTGAACGGGGACAAGCTAATCAATTTTATAGTGCAAGCGTGGCTGTGGTCATCCGCCTTCCATACCTAAAACACTATTCCGACGCAGATTTCCTTTGTAAGATTCTCCACAACCCCATCACAAGCAAGATTATCTGACAATGCAGACTCGACTTACCAAATCGCCATCTGGTCCGTCATGGAAACCGGCCTCGCCATCATCGCCGGCAGCCTCATTACCCTCCGCCCGCTCTTCCGCTGGTTCCTTGACGGCAGCTCATCAAATCACTTGGATAGGCCACATTACGTGCGGCGAGGGAGCTGCATTGCGGGGGGTTATGCATTGTCAAGCTCCACGCTGAAGAAATCGGTCACCAAGGATGAGGTGAACTACTGGCGGCCGGATCTTATGTCTGTAGATAACTCGCACGCGCACAGGGTTATCACGTCTGTGTCGACGCCACTAGGGAAGAGATGCTTGAATGGCAGTCAAGAGAACTTGACGGGCGGTTGGCACGGTGGAGTGCAGCATAAGCATCGGGTTAGCGTTCATTGCACATTTACCGTGGAGGATGAGGTGTAGAGTACAAGAAATAAACTAATGGTATTGAAATGGATCAGCAACGCGAGTGCTTGAATGGGGAGTGCATTATAGCACTTGCTTAGGGTGAAAATCTCATCTTCATTGTTCGTGGAGATGTGTGCCATCAGAACAGGCCATCACTGTCTCTCGCACGCACGTCCACAAAATATACCTGTTGACATGGCGATTAATCCTCGAAAAGGGAATTTGATTGTGGAAATAAAACATCCCATAGATATGGGAGCGGATGAGGAAGTTTTGTTATCGGAACGTACAGTGCCACAGCGTCTAAAAGTATCATGGATGCATTGGATGCTGTTTGCATGAGCCAAGAATGAGCGCTGCTTCATTGTTGGGCGGCCAGGGTGACTTTAGGATAAGTGCATAAGGGTTGGGATACCATGCTTACCCCACTCATGCCCACTTGAATCAATGAGATGGATCTGATGCTGCTGCCTGCAGCACTGTCTTCCTTGGCAGCATGCACGGCCACGTACTGAAATGAGATTGGTAGATATACCGAGACAACAATCTGGAAGTCCATAGAAAGTACTCCGTACAGAGTAACGACATGTTAGCCTCCTACGATCTACCTAGGTCTAATTACCTGTGTCTGCCCCGCCTTCCCCTGTAGCGCTCGATAGTGACCAGTAATGAATCTTCTACGTACATCCATTGAAAGATAGTATACGTAGAACATAATACTGTATTTAGCTATCACTGCTCTTCAATCATAGATCATATTTCTTAGTCCACAGGCTGCGCGCAGCACTCTATTTCTTACAAATAGGGAAAATGATAACCATACGATCTTTAAAGGGCTGAGGGATCGACAGCTGATAAGAAGTCAGCCGGTACCCTTTTACTGTATGTACTAGTTTTTTGGTTGCCCATCAGCTCGGAAATATCTCCTAGAATGGAAAGGAACGGGACAGGCTAAGAAGGCCAAAATGAAGCTTGTATTTCAGCTTAAGGAGAAGAGGAGTTAACCTCAGGCATCTTAGTAGTAGGTGACTCATAGCGCTGGCCATCATGCTGCAGCCACAGCAGTAAAGAAGGCCATGAATTTTTATACTGTCCAACTAGATTAATTACCGAGTGAAGCTGTATAAATTTCTATTTATGGGATGTTGGAAGGCTTCAATTTTGGTTGATTAATTATCAATACACGCAGTTTTGTTATGGCAGCAGTCCGACCGCAGCCTTCGTTAGTCTGATCACGTTAGACCAAAGGAGGGGGAAGTCCTCCCAAACAAATAAAATTGCTCACTACCCCTCCATGTTTACCACAACCATAACCTGCTAACAAGTCTGTGGCCTATAAAGGGACCATCAGCCTAGGTATACTTTTCCTTTCCTTTCGGTTGTTTGGATGATGAGGTTGTTTCCTTTTACATTTCTGAAGCATTTCTTTGCATAAAACTCTGGCCAAACAAATATGGGGTACCACGTTTACACACATGAACCTAGGTTCTCTTCGAGTCATCAAGAACCTACAAAAGAGCCATGCTCGTTGTGTCAGTCTAATGAGGGAAACTTGGAGCTAGTATACTACTCACCAACAGACTCTGATTGGGACGATACCGACAATGAAGAAACGTATTGCGGCATGACAGCGAATGATTTATTTCATGCAGAGTGCTCAGAATGCTCGAACATTCAAACAGATCCCCTTTGTCAGTTCTGTGCACATATGAGGTTAGGACACCTTGCACGATGTATCCTCGTCTCTAAATACGACGCAAAATCACCAATATATAGACGGTACAGAACCAATACAAATTTCCTCAAAATATTGAATTCAATTTGGGAACTTTGAATGATGTTCAAAAACGATCTACGTCTTGTCAGACCTGCGGAACATTTGCCAGCCATGCAACCTCAATAGCAAACCAGAATCGATTTTCATCGCAGACAATGATCAGACTAGATGTGGAATTGGATCCCGGGGTAATCAGAGGTATCAAATATGAATTGGTGATCGAGTTGTCACTTGAACCACTTGAGGCTTCCATTGTTGCTCCCATTTATCGTACGACAGCCCCCTCCCCTCTCTTCATTTCATGGGTCTCCCTGAGCTCCTGATAATCTACCCGTAATTGAATCAAAGAGACTAACGAGACTTGTCTTGCAGGAACGGCAACTTTCATTGGGGCTGCGGGTGCACTATCGGGAAAAAATCTGATATCTCTACAAAGGCCGCAGCCGCAAGTAAACTGGAACAATGTTCCCACTTGGTTTCAAGACTGTGCAGATGGCGCCGGTCATGAGGTACCCCATCATCATGGAACAAATGACTTACCAGTGGAGGAATTTCGCGTCATTGACACCAAGAAAAGATGTGTCATATTGGCCCCTCAAGACTGCAAATATGCCACTCTAAGCTATGTTTGGGGTAGAGGAGGTGACCTCCTACAAGCAAAGCTGGATAATATTGACGACCTAAGCAAGGAAGGGTCTCTTGCAGATGATGACTGCTTGCCAGCAACAATCAAAAATGCAATAGACGCATGTTTAGGCCTAGAAATATCATTTCTCTGGGTTGATCGACTTTGCATATTACAAGACGATGAGCCATGCAAAAAGGCAATACAGCTGAATGCCATGGGCAAGATATACAATCAGTCATATCTAACCCTAGTTGCTATGGCAGGAAGTGATGCACATTACGGTCTTCCCGGAATAAATGCACAGAGGCGATCCCCACAGTGGACAGGTCAAACACAAGGGGTATACCTGCTTAAAGACATTGACGATTGCGATGGGATGTATCTATCCTCAAAATGGAAAACTCGAGGATGGACATTCCAAGAGGCAATCCTTTCACCAAGACTACTAATCTTCACTGACCATGGGGTGTTCTATCATTGCCAGGGGAAGACCACACTCGAGGATGGTGACTGTCCAAATCATTACTTTCTACCTTCAGAAGTCCAAATTCCGTGGTCTGAATATCAGGATTTGGTAGCCGAATTCACAAGCAGGGATCTTACTTGCAAGTCTGATATCCTCTTTGCATTCTCAGGGGTTTTGCACTTCCTTTATGGACAAAACCATCATTATGGCCTGCCGTTTAGTGACTTTAGTCGGGCTCTTCTTTGGAAGACTGAAGATGGAATTTATCCTATGCGATATCAAAACATACAAGGAATGTTTCCATCATGGTCATGGTCGTCCGTTGATAATGAAATACGCTTCTGCCACAAAGGCAACATATGGAAGAAAATTTCTGCATCGCTAGCACAAATTGCTATCCCGTCCTCCCAGGATGGGCACACTTCATGGAAAGTTCTTCTAAATACATCAACAGAGCCCCACAAGCTAGATTCTCAGTATAGCGAAGAGCATATTCGGGCTCGTCTTGCTGTATTAATAGCCTGGAAGGGAGGTTGCTTCCCGGGTAAGCTTCCGAAAGCTCTTGATGCCAAGGTTACTTGGGAAGAATATGATGATATCATTCGCAGGAGATGGACATCGCTTGCCCATATGGGTGATGAAGCATACTGCATACAAGAAGGCCTCCTCTCTGTGAGCGACCAAGAGGCAAGGTTTCCGCTTAAAGTCCAGCATGCTTGTCAAGATGGATGCATCCTGGTTTATACCCAGTCACTTCGGCTTCGGATGGAAGGCCCTGAAGACTCCATGGGCTATGTCAAGCTTCTCGATCAAGGTGGCAACATGGTTGGGTGGTTAGAACCTACTTCTATTAACTGGGGACGCCTTCGTCATATTCCTGATTGGAATAATGGAGCCGATTTCGATGTCCTGGCTTTGTCCTTGCAGTACGAAGCAAGAAATCTTGCTTTATACCCCACAACACATCCTGCAAAAGGCTATGATCGCGACGTCGCGAACTGGTGTGACTCGGAACAAAAAACCATCTTTATAGACGACTACATCCATCACTACTATATCGAATTAGTCACTGTGAACTTGATGGTTGTTGAGTCAGAAAACGGCATCAGGAAGCGCATTGCACTTGCAGAGGCTGCTCTGAAAATTTGGATAGAGGCAAAACCTCAGTTTCACACCTTTATTCTTGGATAGAGATTCCGCAAACAATAAACAGGTATAGCATCTCGACTTCTATCATGTATTTCATGACTCGCCTATTCATCAGTAGACCAGAGCCTGGACCGATGTCTTATAAATTAGTAATCTACTTTGTGTTTCGATCAAGCAAAGTTAAAAGAGCAAGAAAACCACAGGGTAAAACACCTATTCACTATTACCCAGTTCAAAATTATAAACAGCAGGGTATTTCTATCTTCAACATCATGGGGTTTTTACTATCACACATCGTTTCTATAATTCTCTAGATATGATAAGTCAACACAGGGAATATACATAACAGAAAAGAAAAAGACCAACTTCACTGGACATATTTCTCTGCTTACTACTTTGAGTAGGTAGCCATCTCCTGCTCAATCTCCAAATGCCTCTTCCTCCTGACTATATATCACCACCTGCTCGCCCTTTTTAGCGGAAAAAAGGGCGTCCAGGCAAAACAAAAACATACAACAGAAGGGATTCGCTGGTGGTCACCCACCCAACTACTAACCTCCCGGCGTGTGGCTTAAGTACGGCTGAGCGGACGGGAAGCCCTGTTTTCCACACCCTGTGGTCGTATGTACTTGATGCATGTTACAACTGAATTATAACATGTAATATGGTTTTACACAAGAAGAGCAACAATGAGAAGTTACAATCACCATCCACTCTCCTATTTGCGTGAGGGTGAAACCCCATCAGTCAAGGAAGGGATGCGGAAATTTGGCACGGATGCTAGCAGCAGTACCTCAAACCCTGATATGACACAAACATAGGCGGGTATCAAACTGCGTATGCTAAATCTCGAGCAACACATTCCGGACGACCAACTGACTCTGGGCGTAGGGCAAACTAGGAAGTCTATCTGAATACCGGGGGAAATGAACGAAATTGAACGGGGAACGACAGTTGATGATTTACGGACTGCTGGTAGAATTGAGTGAAATTTGACTGAACATTCAAACAGGTAGGTGTATAGGGACGTTCAGACACCAGAGACTGGATGGATTCTGATGATGGCCTCCATGCTCTGTGATCGTATGTTATAATCTCTTCTTTCAAAATTATATACTGGGGTTTTATACAAATGTGGAGCTAATTGCATTAAGGTTATGATGATGTCCTCGAATTAGCAAGGACCTATCACCCAGGTAAAGGGAGGCCCAATACAGAGGAAGTGCTATCCCTCCACAGATAAGAGACTGCATGCAAAACCACAGAGTAACTTTCTCCAATACGAGGGAGAACTCCCCCTCCAACTAAGCCGCATGGTCTTACAACAAAAGTCCCTAGCAGCGGAAACGATCTACAATCGCGGCACCTTACCATACACAGTAGCTTGTTTCCGAGACTTATGCATACATGCCGACGGCATCAACCCCATTCGCCAAAAAGGTATATCGTACAGTCAATCGGCCCGTCCGGAGGGGACCCATCAACATCCTAAATACATCATACACGGCACGCATCTGCAGCTAAAATATTATCAGTCCGCCGATCGCGACTATACCCCTCAGTCGTTTGAGATAAGTTGCCTATGCTTATGCCCATTTTCAATCCTAATTCAACTCTCTGAGCTACAATCTCCGACTTCTTCGATATAGTGAATTGGTTACAATGATGGTATCATCCAACGAATTCCGCCTCGGAGTCGACGTAGGCGGCACGTTTACTGACGTGTGCGTCTTCACTCCGAATGGGGAGACAGTCCGCGCCAAAGTCCCCACCACGCCTAACCAAACGATCGGGATTAGACACGGGATCGCGAAGGTGCGATGCATTCTCAAGAAACGGTATGACTGGAATGGGGCATTCAGGTTCATTCATCATGGTACCACGACAGCGACGAATGCCGTGTTGGAAGGCAAAGGGGCGCGGACTGCCTTGGTGGTCACGGCCGGACATAAAGATATTCTGGCTGTGAGGCGGTCGCAAATTCCTGGGGGCCTTGGGGCGTGGCTTTACTATACCCCTCCTGAGCCGCCGGTGCCGCTGGAAAGGGTGGTTCAGTGTGTGGAGAGGATGTCGGTCGGTGGGGAGACGGTGGTGGAGGTTGATGAAGAGAGGCTGAGGGGGGATTTGCTGGAGTTGGTGGAGAGAGAGAGGCCGGAGGCGGTGGCGGTTTCGTTGCTGAGTTCGTATAGGAATCCTGCTCATGAGGAGGCTGTTGCGAAGATAATTCGAGAGGTATGTGGTCCGGGAGTGGCGGTCAATTGCTCGAGTGAAGTGTTGCGGGAGGTGGGCGAGTATGAGCGAACGGTCACGACCTGCACCAATGCTTTGGTGAAGCCGGTGATGCAGAATTACTTGCGCGAGCTGTCCGAGCAGTTGGCGTCGGAGACAGAGGCGATTCGGGTGTTGAAGAGTGATGGTGGCTTGACGAGTGTCGGCCTGGCCGGCGAGTTCCCCGTGAATATCTTGATGTCTGGGCCAGCTGGAGGAGCCAAAGGCGTGGCTGATGCGGTCGCTCGAAGCACCCCGTACAAAAACCTTATCACTCTCGACATGGGAGGGACTTCGACGGACTGTGCGCTCATTTTGGTGGGGAAGCCGCGTATCCGTCGGGATACTGTGGTCGATACCCTAACGGTTCGTGCACCGGCAGTGGACATTCATACCGTTGGGGCTGGAGGTGGCTCAATCGCAACATATATGGAGGTCACTGAGACCTTGCGGGTCGGACCAGAGAGTTCTGGGGCAGCGCCAGGTCCAGCCTGTTATGGAAAGGGAGGGACAGAAGCGACGGTGACCGATGCAAATCTCGTCCTGGGATACCTACCCCATAGCCTACTGGGTGGTGAATTTTGCTTGGATACAGAAGCAGCAAAGACCGCGGTTCAGAAACTTGCCACCACAATGGGACTACCTCTGAGACAGACGGCAGAAGACATAATCAACATTGTCAATGAAACAATGTATGGTGCTGTTCGATTGGTCTCTGTCGAACAGGGATATGATCCAAGAGACTTTGCACTCGTTGCGTTAGGCGGTGCTGGGCCACTGCATGCCAATGCAGTAGGAAAGCTTCTAGGTGCATGGCCAGTCATCGTACCTCCGTCTCCAGGCATCCTGTGTGCACAGGGCGATCTGACAACCAAGTTGAGTCATGAGCAGTCCGTCACCTTTACTCGGATGGTGAGAGATACCTCGTCGGAGGAACTGCGACATCAGGTGGAAGAACTGGAAAAGCACTGCAAACAGATAATGCGAGACTCTTGTGGTTCGGACTGGCCTATGTCATTGGTTGCCACGTACGAGGTTGATGTCCGATACAAAGGGCAGGCCCTGACCATCACAATCAATCTCTCGCACGACGAAATCCAACTGAACGACCAGGCTTGGCGCCGTGTGCTACAAGACGCTTTCAACAAGAAGCATCAGCAGCAGTTTGGCTACTGTCTTCCTGACTTTGAACTCGAGCTGATGCGTATTGGCGTGATACTCGAGGATGGCTCATCAGATGTGGAGCTGACAGTAGTCCCGAAAGCAGAATCTAGCGAGCCTCCATCCTCGGCCGTCATTGGCACGCAGGTTATTATTATCGAGGGCCGAGAACAGCTAGCGACAGTGTGGGAGCGAGAGAAAATCACGCTCAAAGGTATCCGGGTTACAGGACCCTGCATCATCACGGAGATGGACAGCAACACACTGATATCTTCCCGGCTATTCAGGTGAGATCGATCGCCTGGGTAATATTCTCATCCTGCCAATTGCAGAGCAACCACCCTCAACGACGCAACATACCTCGGAATCAGCAACAGAATTGATGCGCAGTAATCCGCTCATCGCAACTCTGATATCCTCTTCACTGGCATGCATTCGTGGCGAAATGGACAAGTTGATGCTCCGCTGCAGCATGTCCCCTGCTATCCGCGAGCAGCAAGATGAATTCAATGTCATCACAATTGCAGAGGGCAAGATGCTTGTGGGTCAATTCGGCAGCTTCATCAAAGAGTTCCTTGGGGTGTGGACAGGAAGTATCGAAGAAGGCGATGTTTTCATTACCAATGACACATACATGGTCAAGGGTGCTGTTAGTCACTTAAACGATGTGATCATCATCCTTCCCATCTTCCATGAACATCGGTTGATTGGCTGGGCTTCTCAATTTGGACACTTGACCGATGTTGGCGGCATGGTTCCGGGCAGCATGTCCATCAACGCCACCTCCATTTATGATGACGGAGTCCAGATTCCATGCATCAAGCTCTACTCCCAAGGGGTGATGAATAGCGACCTGGTTGATCTACTATGTCGAAATTCCCGCCAACCGGCGTGGTATAGATCGGATTTAACGGCTCTGGTGACGGCATGTCGCATGGCAGCAACGCGCATCTCCGAGCTGGCCACCCGCTTCGGAACCGAGGTGTATCTAGCTGCCTGTCAGGAGCTTCTACACCGGAATCGAACTGGTCTGGCCAAGATTGTTGAGCGTCAATTCGACGATAAACTCAGCACATTTACCGACTTCGTCGACGACGACGGCCACGGCGTCGGACCCTGGGCCGTAACATGTTCGATGCAGAAAACCAGCGCTGGGGGGTTGAAGTTCGACTGGAGTGGTACTTCTCCGCAGAGCGAGCACAGCATCAACTTTTATCTCTCAGAGACCATGTTCAAGATGCTGGTGGGATACTACCTCATAGCCGCTGCCGCACCGGGAACAGTCATCAACGACGGGTTCCACGATCTCATTGAAGTGCATATCCCCGAAGGCACCGTTCTAAAGCCAGTCCGGCCCGCCCCAATATCTTGTCGCACTCACTTCCTAGGCCGGACCATGGACGTGATCCAAGCGCTGATCGGGCAGAAGAACGAAGCCTATGTAGCGGCAGCTGGGTTCAGCGACTCGCCTCATTTCTTCTACTCCGGATACTACCCCACTGGGGAATGGTATCAACTATATCAAATTGGCTTTGGTGGGGTTCCGGCTCGAGCAGCAGGGGATGGACTGGATTGTCACTGCTTGTTCCCCGCCATCAAGTCAATCCCAACGGAGAGCATCGAGCTGAATTACCCCCTTCGGATTGAGGCAAACGAGAGCGTCGCGGACAGTGGTGGCCCGGGACACTTCCGAGGAGGCAATGCACAACGAACCCTGTATCGATTTCTAGCGAGAGGGGAGATCAGTCTGCATGATGATCGGTGGTTCACGAAGCCATGGGGTCTCAAAGGGGGGAAACCGGGACAACGTTCGCGGAAGATCTTATATCGCTACTCTCGCAGTGCCAATAGTCCGGTTACAGAGACCCTGCCGTCAAAATGCGACCATGTACGTGTAGATCCGGGGGATTTGTTAGAATGGGTGACGTGGGGAGGTGGTGGATTGGGCGATCCTCTTACCAGACCCGCTGAGCGAGTTGCAATGGATGTCCGTCGGAAATTGGTGACGGTGGAGGGTGCACGCAACGGGTATGGTGTTTTGCTCGATGATGATGGGCTGGTCTGTACTCTGGAAACAGAAGAATTGAGGGCAGATATGCGGAGCCTTTTGACAGATGGCATCATCTACGACCGCGGAGGCAGTCTGGACGAGCTGCAAAAGTCATGTTTACAAGAGACGGGGCTTGCTGCCCCGGTGCCACTGTGGGAAACTGAGCCATATGGACCACACACGGGCCTGGAGTATGTGAAGCAGTGGTATGCCACGAAGCAGGAGGAGAGGGGGTGGGAATTGGAGTAATGCTTCATGGGTGGCAGGTGTCACTGCATGATAATTCACCTGAGCTTCTTTATCACCCAGGTCTTTGTATACTTGACCTTCAAATGTATAGATGTTGTCGCGTCACAGACTATCCTTCAATAAGATTTGTTGTTCCCGACAAGGCCGCATAGTCAACATGATCGTAAAGGCACCGTGCGGTGGCTCCATTGGCTTTGATTATCACGTGCCATTGGTCACCATTCAGTTTAGGGATCGCTCTGCTCCGCTGAGACTCCGGTCTCTAGAGATCTCTGCACGATAGCGGTGGACTGGTTCATGATTCCCGGCCCAACGCCGAGCTTTCTCCGTAGCGCACATTCTGTTTGTACAATGGGTTCAAGTACTTGGTGTGATTCGGCTGCTGTACTGGGTGGGCGACTACTGCCGCAGGCGGTGTCCCTGTCTGTGCCTGGGACAGCCCGAAAACGCCACAGCTCAACTACCACCTTTGATTTCTTCCTCTACTGTGAGCAGACGATTGGGGTTATTACTGTTATTTTCATTGCGGTTGTGCTTTTCCTTACATGTAGTTGGGGGGTATCATTCTTTCCCCGGTGTCAGTTTACTAGCATAATAGTTTCCGACAAACAAAAGCCCTACCCGTTTATATATAACGAGTGGATGATACCGAAGAAGCCACAGTAATCCAAATAGTAGCATTAGCAGAAGCCCTGAGTAAATAATAGCTCTCTAGATATCATATAAACAGTTCTTACATACATCCCATCTCATTCTCTAACACCAACCCCGCCCCATAGGACCCCCAACACCTCTTCTGAAGTTCATCCTCGTTCCCAACCCACAGACGAGAAGGCGGCAATTTAATGGAAGCTAACATATGCTAGAGTACAATATAACCTATTGCATCAAAATGTCTAGTACATACGACCACAGGGTGTGGAAAACAGGGCTTCCCGTCCGCTCAGCCGTACTTAAGCCACACGCCGGGAGGTTAGTAGTTGGGTGGGTGACCACCAGCGAATCCCTTCTGTTGTATGTTTTTATTATTATTTTTTTACCTGGCTATTACTAGCTAGTTGGTATGCTTCTTGTTCTTTTATAACTCTAATCATAAGAACTGTAGGTAGACCTATGATACTATTATACAGTGCGGTGATAGTGGTGAAGTCAACAGGTTAGCCAAACGTGATGAGTCTCGATTCGCGGTGAGTCGGTGTTAGTATATACTGCTATGAAGTACCCGAGAATATAGAGAGGGACTTAAGGGAGAGATCATGCCATATCATTTACTGCAGTCTGGTTTTCAGACATTGAAAGAGTAACAAAAGTACGGTAGGAAGCTATTAGATTAGAATGTAACTGGTACTGGGTCAGGATAGCCCCGACCAACGCCTAGCGAGCTGCAATGCTGCCAAGGTATTTGGACACTATCTTAGTCCCTGCTATTGGTATTGCCCGGAAATCGACCATAGTCATTACCATGGGTACAAGCACTACCAATGAAACATATCCTCCTGTCAAAGGCATCCGTGTACCGCCATGCACATCAATAAATAGTATAAGGTATTCGAAAGACTGCCGCAGCCGAGAGAAGATAGAAAATAGTATGAAAATAGATAAATGAGCCCCCTTCCCACAAAGCGTATAAAGCGTAAGATACCATAACCACCCAAACTCCAAGCCCCCGTCGTAGGAAAACGTCCCAAGAACTCCGAAACCAGACCCTCTATGACCAGCATGAGACCAACCGCATTACTTTTCGCCTTTCCGGATATCCAGAACTCGTGATCTTTACTCCGGAGCAGCATGGTACTTCTCGGTGGCTGAGCGGAACAACTCCTGTTGTTGCCGTAGAAGCTCCTCTTCGGACAACCCACTCTGCTCCATCTTGCTCTGCTTCTTCTCTCGCGACTAGTGTAATCGATAAGGTCAGCCGGATAACGCCATGAACAAGGGGAGGGTGTCAGCCACATACCTTCAGCTGCTCTTTATGCTCCTCCGCGACAGCAAGGACGTCGGGAATGTAGTCGCTGAAACCGAGATCACGGAGGGCGCGCTCGACATGTTCGCAGGCGATAGTCTTCTTGGCCTCCTTTTCGCTGATGTCGTTGGCTTCGGAGGAGATCAAGGTGATGAACTCGACGCAGCATTCCATGAGGAGATCGCGGGCATCTTTGGAGAAAGTCTGGCCGGATGAGGGTGGTAGGATCTCGGTGATAATCTTTTGAACCGTCGCTGTATAGTTTGCGATTTAGTATATGATGTATATTTGATTATGTTATGTACTGAATCCGAGGAAAACAAAGCAAAGGGCGACTGGCCCCGACGAGCTCGAACGTGGGGGAGTTGATGCGACGCGACAACACGGAGGAAGGCGACATACCTTTAGGTAGCGACAAGTCGTCGTTGGCTAGTAGGAAAAGCGCGAGTTAGCTCGATACCTTGAATTTGCGCGAGGAAGTAATCTGGAATAAAACTTACCACTAAATTCGCGATCTGACATGATGGGCGACAAGGAAGGAACTAGGCGAAACGCGCGTTCTGCACAGTGGTGGAAGTTGGCTCCAGATTGGAAAGTATGTATTGTGACGGTGCGCGGGGAGCAACTGGTTGGTATAAATAGCTGCGATTAAATCCCGGCGCGGAGGGACTCGTCACGGAACGGAAGAACCGCCCGGCAGAAACATACCGCCTCTGGGGTTTTTAATCTCGGTTCACAGCTTTTTTTCGGTTCATGATTTCTTCACTCATGCAGTGCTCTTCGCACAACAGAAAGTGAAAAATGGCTTCACTTTTCTTGTTTTGCTTGCTCAATTCTTGAAATCTCTCAAGGAACTAACTTCAATGGTATGTATTTCACCCTTTTCTCCCTTATTTGCCTTCAATTATCATGATGAACATCGTTGTCGCCCCTATCATACCATCTATGGTGACGTACACTGTCCAAGCCAAACGGACCACTGAAATATTTCCTCACATTCGGAATTTGCCAATCAGTCATTGCATTGTACATTGCTGACTTGTTCAAAGAATCTAGGTGCAGAATCTGCAAATCGCTTATCACGACCACACAATAACCTCGCTTCGATATCCGTAAGGTATGCGATAATAATTTTTTCTATGCGTCCACACTTTTTTACATGATGATCACATTACATTCCATGCTAAGTATGAAGGTTCACGCCTAATGCTTCCGAAATGTAACCTGCTTTTCATCTTTCGGCTGATTTGTATTCTATTTCGCAATATGTTCTATATTGAGTCTTGTTGACGGTATATACTGACTGTCTTCATAAGAATCATCTAGTTGTAATCTACTCCTGGAACGCCTCGAGAGCCTTGTCGTTCCACCTAGTTTAGCTATTAGCTTTATTCTGAATCTGAAGAGTTTTCAAAATCACTCACGTGAAGAACTTCCCAGTAAGCTCGTTAGGAGCGTCCAACACCAGCTTGGCCATAACATGGCCGGGCTGCTCTGGCTTGAGGAGCTTGCCATCCTTGTGGACCGTCGTAAACTTGGCATGCATCTGCGGCTCCAGAGTCGTAGCGTGGTCCTCACGCAGCTCCCGCTGCATCTCGGTGTCAACCATACCAGGCCGGATAGAAATTGTAGTAACCTCGGGTTCTTCCTCGCCCAAGCTCAAAGCGAGGTGGTTCATGGCGGCCTTGGTCGCACCGTAAAGAGCCCATCCTCTATAAGCCGTGACGGCAGCACCCGACGAAGTGAAGATAATTTTTCCCTTGGATTCACGGAGGGCGGGAAGACCGGCTTTGATCTAAGCAGATAATGAATATCAATGCGTTAGCTATCAAGGTCCATTGATGTATCACTATCCGCCATGAATTCGAAAACTCGCACTTACGAAAGCAGTAAGACTGATAAAGTTCACGTCGAACGCGTGCTTCCATTGCGCGAAATCGGCATCCTTGACCTTGCCTACTTGTCCAAGCATGCCGTGGTTGAGGACCATGCCGTCCAGACGGCCGAAGGACTTGAGAGCCAGGTCCACGGCCTTCTGACCGAGGGAGAAATCGGCCAGGTCTCCATTGAGCACTTCGACCTGCTTGCTGTATTGCTCCTTGAGCTTCTCGAGGGGTTCGCGACTACGAGCGATCACGACAACATTGTGGGATTGGGGTGCGGTGAGGAGGTATTTCGCGATGGCGAGGCCGATTCCTGGGTGTGCGAGTGTGGTCAGTGACTGCGGGGTTGAGGTTGCGGATGAATTGGGGTTGGGAATATTGGATGGGTTGAACAATATTACCTCGAGAGGCACCGGTAACGATGATAGTCTTGCTCGACATTGTGCTTGGTTTGTGTGACGATGGAACTGGTCTGGTTGCACAGCAAGTGGCTGAATAAATGGATGCTATGACGAGAGTGGGGGTGGATGCTCTCGTATCGGACCGGCCACTTGCCTTCCAAGAACGGACGGGCCGACGGAGGGTTTACTACGAGAGCTATGTGCCATATCCCCCGTGCAATTGACCCTGTGGCTGCGCTTCCATGTTCATTACCACCGACGAACAGGCATGCTTTATTTTATTCGATTACTTCATCGAACCCCTCTGTTGGAGATGTGAGGTAGTGCACGCGGTCTGGCTCGAATTTGTTCCTATCCTTCAGGCGTCTGACAAACCTAAAGAGTACGTGGATGATAGAGCCCATGGCGCTAAGCCCTACCACCTGCTCGCTGCGTAGAGTAGGTGAACTGTGTTATACTGAGCAGTTGTTTGCCTGAGATACATACTTCCGATAACCTTAATCTGACAATTTTGAAGGAGTCGGTGGGCCTTCCCCCGACACATTACAGTACTGAGAGTTGCCCACCAATATGTTGGCGGCGTCACCAGGTACAACTCTTGGGAGCTCATAGGGAGCCATTATAATTGACTTGGTGGATGGCCATAATAGACATAAATCACAATGTGCCTGCTAGTATACTAAGAATAGCTGTAGCTGGATGAGAAGTTAATCGAAGGGTTACACTGGTTCCCGCGGGACACAACCTTGTGCAAGCCTGTTTTCGTTCTGTAGTATGGAGCAGCGGCTGGGCAGTAGTGGTACCATCCAGGAGAATGACATCTCGATGGAAAAAGTATCCCCTTCAGTGTTCATGTGACTGAGAAATAGAGCATTACTTACTATGACAAGGAGAATTGTGACATGCCGCGAGCTTAGGCGCTGATGAAACGAGGGGGAACGTGGGGTCTTTGTCGGCAATTCTTCCGCTGTTTTATGTATGACGCTAGTCAAATCCACTGCCATAGACCTTCTAGACTGAAATAGTACCAAGATGACTACATTTCCCCAGTCACACTATTCCCAGTCTTCTGACAAGTTCCTTGAAGTAATTGTCTCTTGAAAGGTTGACTTTTCCGCGGAAAACATTAACCATGGTTGAGTGGAGCCCGTGGGAAGGTATAGTAGGACATCGTATAGTGCCATCATACTATACGCCAGTCTCTATTATTGGTTAGAAGTGGAATCTATATTCCACTGACCGACTTTGATACTGAATAATATGTGGCTAGTCAGTCCTCCAATGACCTCCATTCAGCCGCAGACATACACTGTAATGGCTTGTATATACCACGCCTATATTCTTTAGGGTCCAGAAATCAATTCCCAAATGCAAATGCCATTCTATGAACAGAGCATGTCTTAGAAAATTCTAGAATATCTGCCAAGGGCCTAAACAATCTGGAGAGAATCCACTGTATCATGAAGCCCGTGGGGAAGCTATACTATTTCCCGGTACCTTGAGTAGGGCGTATGGGTCTACCACTCAACATGAGGGTAGTCTCAACTCTTGCTTCTCATGACAGAGAATTGAGTATAGCGTATTAAAATAACCACATAATCTTATGATCGTTCTAGAGAATGTATTTCCCATCAATTTTCAGGGGAGTGACGAAGACCCGGAAACGTCTGGCCCTCCGGAATCGGCAGGCCGTCCGAGTTCGGAACGCTATCTCTAAGCAACAACATCACGCAAGGGAGCAAACTTGCTTGCTCTATCTGAAGTCCAAGATAGATACATTATCAAGATGATGCATCCTGATGCTTGTTAATACAAGGTGAACCGGCCCGGTCATCTCGGGAAGGGTGCCGGTTCGATAAGGGCAAATGGCAGCGGGCAGCGTGCACAGTTCCTCATCCGGGAATCATCATTCGAAGGGCGTGATCCACTCTGTTCATCGAATCGACTGTCCCGGATCTACCCCGCCATGGAGTCTGGAGATATCCACTCCCACTCCTACTTTATATAAATTTGACAGCGACCCAACTGGAGAGGGTTGAAATACAAAAGTTCATATCAAAAATTGTGTTGTGGTTGCGTAACTTGGGCGCAATCGTTACCCGAAAACCCTCATAAAAGTCATAGCCCCATTCCAACATGCCTACCGTCATTCTTGGAGGAGGTATCATTGGCTCCTCAATTGCCTACTATCTCTCTCAAAGCCAACCGCAAGAAGAAATCCATGTTATTGAATCAGCATCTGAGCTGTTCTGCTCTGCGTCTGGTTACGCTGCTGGCTTCCTAGCCAAGGATTGGTTTGCGCCTTCTCTCGCGCCATTGGGAGAGCTGTCATTCAACCTACATGAGTCTCTTGCTGCCGAGCACGGCGGAAGGCAGAAATGGGGTTACATGAAAGGTGTGGCGCTGAGCTTAGGTTCCGTGAACAACCAAGGAGGTGCTCGTGGCGACGATTGGCTTCGTGCAGGTACAAGTCGCGCAGAGACAGCCGCAGGCACAAGTCAGTACGGGGAACCCGAGGTCCCAGAATGGGTGACACGGCAGCAGGGGGCGAAGGTAGAGCAAATCAGTGATAAGAATACGACCGGTCAAGTGTAAGGCTGATTAAATCCTTTCGCAATGAAGCAAATATACTGATGATTATTAGTGATCCCTTGAGGTTGTGCAGATTCCTCATGGACAGCTGCACGTCACGAGGTGTCAAGCTCCACTACCCAACAAAAGCTTCGTCGCTTGTTAGGAACGAGGCCGGCACGATCACTGGCGTCAGAATCGTGAACTTGAACACAAAATCCGAATCTACTATCCCCTGTACGAATCTGGTTGTCTGCGCTGGACCGTGGACACCGCAGGTCTTCCGTGACCTGTTCCCATTCTCTAAGGTTGCACTTCCCATATATCCACTCGCTGGATATTCTTTGGTTCTCCACTCTCCAAGACATACTCTGGAACACGAGGAAAAGTATCATGGGGAGACCCATGCGTTGTTCACGACATGGCCGCCATCCTGCGGCTTCAGCCCGGAATTGTTCTCTCGGGAAGGAAGGGAAATCTACATTGCGGGTTTGAATACCAAGACAATCCCGCTTCCGGAACGAGCGGACGACTCTCATAAGTCGATGGACCAAAAGGAGATGGATAGATTGAAGGCGGCGTCCGTTCGCCTGCTTGGAAAACTTGCAGAAGGCCAAACGGAATCGACCGACGAAACTCCGAACGTCAACGACCTGAAGATAGTCCGAGAAGGCCTTTGTTTCCGTCCTGCTTCAGATCGTGGCACACCTTTTGTGGGGAGAATTGACGACAGTTTGTTGGGAGAGGGCATCAAGACCACAACAGGAAGCAGGAAGGGTGGTGTGTTTGTTGCTTCGGGTCATGGCCCTTGGGGAATCTCGCTTGCTCTTGGAACTGGCAAGGTCATTGCCGATTTAGTGGAAGGGGTCCAGCCTGCTGTAGATATCAGCGGGCTGGGTGTGAGCCGTAGAGGCTTGGAACGTATATAGTCAGCTTTGCATCCACAAACGTACAGAGTGGCTAAATTTCCTCAATAGAATAATAACTAAGACTTTTCCTTGGCTAGTGAACTATAAACAAATAGTAATTTACCCCAAAGTTAATCACAAGTAAAAAGCTGAGTAAGGTACATGTTGATTATGGAAGCCTCAGGCACCAGAAGCTTCTCCGAGATTAGTCAGCGCGGCCGCCACGAGATCGAAGCTCTCCAGAATCTGCAATCAAGAGCTGGGGAAACCACGTCGCGCTAACATATTTGTCTCTGCGTTGTTGCAGCCTTCGCGTACTCTTAATCTTCTCTAGCTCTTGAACCTCTCCACCTATCTTCTTTCCTATCATCGCCCATTAAATCATCTCCGCGAACCGAGCTCGGCGCAACACGATCCACCATGGCCAACTATCTCGCCTCCATCTTCGGTACAGAGCAGGACAAGGTCAACTGCTCCTTCTACTACAAAATCGGAGCTTGCAGACATGGCGACCGCTGCTCCCGGAAGCACGTCAAGCCATCATACTCTCAGACGATCCTGATGCCGAACATGTACCAGAATCCCGCGTACGACCCGAAGAGCAAGATGAACCCCAGTCAGCTACAGAACCACTTCGATGCTTTCTACGAGGATGTGTGGTGCGAGATGTGCAAGTACGGCGAGTTGGAGGAATTGGTTGTCTGCGACAATAACAATGACCGTGAGTCGCATCCATTCATTATATTATCCCTTTCCCGGATAGTAGTAAGATATAGGCTAACATTACATCTCCTCTTTGATAGACCTCATCGGAAATGTCTACGCGCGTTTCAAGTACGAAGAAGATGCCCAGGCAGCCTGCGACGCTTTGAATTCACGATGGTACGCGGCACGACCCATATATTGTGAATTATCACCGGTTACGGATTTCCGAGAAGCGTGTTGTCGGTTAAATAGCGGCGAAGGGTGTGTACGTGGTGGATTCTGCAATTTCATTCATCGGAAGGACCCCAGCAATGAGTTGGACCGGGATCTTCGTCTCAGTACGAAGAAGTGGCTGAAGGAGCGTGGCAGGGATGCGAGAAGTGTCAGCCGCAGTCCTAGTCCGGAGCCAACCCGGAGGAGGTACTAGAGGGGGGGAGGATCTGTGATTTGGAATGTCCTTTGTGTTGTTCTACATGCGGCGTTGGGGGAGAATGACCATCATCTGTCAGCTGTATTTCTATTCTAGTTTCTTTACGCTATGATATCAACTGCATTTGCGATATCCGCAATATGGTTCTGGATTGTGTTTAGGAATGAAGCCGAGTTTCTACTAAAGGGTAATATACTCTATATTAATGGTATCTATAATAAGTAATTAACGCTGCTAGAAACTATCTTCAAAGTCATAAACATTGGATGCCACAAAGAACCTCCAGTCTTGGCATCCAGAACCAATAAACGCGGGGCCGCCGGCGCGTCCATCGCGTCGTCCGTCGCATCCAATTTCTTTGTCCTGTCCATCCATTCATATACTCCCCGCATAAAAGAGCTACCAAAACCCTTCCAATCGACAAGAAATCCGCAATGCACAACCTCACCATATAGCCACCAAACCCACAATCTCCTCCCCCAAATACCCCAACCAACTACATACAAAAATGCCCCGATACGCAGAAGACCACGAGCGCTACGATGACAGCAACCGCGCATTTCTCCAAGCCTTCATGGCGCGGTCCACCATGACCTTTGCCGAAGCAAAGCCCATCCTGGCTGCGATATTCTCCGTCAGAGGTATTCCCCATATCATATACCTTACACCAAGATAACCAACCATGTCCCACATCAATCACTAACATCCAAACCCCCTCTACATCTAGACGACGAACAAGTCTCACCCGAAGACATAACAGAAGACGACCTCCAAACCTACATCGCAGCCGCCAACAGCGCCATATCGCCCTTCGACCTCGAAATCCGGAGCATACTACCCCAGATAGAAATCAACAACAATGACCCCGACGCACCCCCTCCCCCAGCTCCGGAACGAGTCTACGCCCTCGTCAACACAACCAGCGACGCGCTGACCCAGCTCGCGACCACCTACTCCGCCGATGAAATCGCCTTCGTGAAGCGCATCCTCGACGCCATGTTCGACACATACAACACCCGCCGCCAGGAAGCAATGGTCATAAGTAGTATGCAGGCGCTGCAGCTAGCCAAGGCAGGTGCAGGGGACGCGAATCGACGGGAATCAGGGACGCAACAGCAGCAAGCGACGCAGGGAGGCGCGGCGCAGTCACTGACGATGACGCAGGCGGAGACGATGCTGAAGCAGCTTGTCGAGCAGGGTTGGTTCGAGAAGAGTAGGAAGGGGTATTATCGGTTGAGTCCGCGAGGGTTGATGGAGTTGAGGGGGTGGTTGGTGGCGGCGTATAATGATGAGGGGATTAGGAAGATTAAGTTCTGTGCAGCGTGTCGGGATATTATTACTGCGGTGAGTTCGAATCTCTATTCGCGTGGGAGTGAGTTGTGGTTTGGGGCATCCTTGGCTAATGATTTTGTGTTTGTGTATAGGGCCAACGATGTGGCGACCGCGATTGTACTGGACGATTGCACGACCACTGCATGCGGAATTTCTTTCGCATGCAAAAGTCCGAGAGTTGTCCTGTGTGCAAGAGTGCCTGGCCGGGTGATAGGTTTGTTGGTGAGCGCGCCATCACTATGTCTGATCCGGCTGCGCAGAGGGCTAGACGCTCGGCTGCGAATGCTCAGCAGGCCGAGGCGGGGCCTAGTACGCAGTTCACATTGCCGGAGTTGGATGTTGAAGATGAAGTGGAAGGTGGTGAGGAAGAGGCCGGGAGTGATTGAGGGGCTAAGTCATGGTTTATTGGGATTATGATTATACCTTAGGCTGCCTACGCGGCGAAGCATTTAGGGCGGCCACGACGCTCTTCGGATGCGATCAGGACTTCGAGGGTCGGAGACAGAGAGTACTCGGAGCCATAAGACGCAGCGTCATATCAAGATACACCTGCGAGGCCCCCCAACGGGGACGATACTTCCTTGATGTAGTACGTTGAGGGGATCGACTGACCCCAGTCAACGACTGGCCTGTTCACCAGTCGATCCTGGTTGAACGACCACTCAGTGTGTTTGTTATCTACGGACCACCATATCTGGTATACGTCCAAGACGGTCATAATAGATGGCCACAGCTCTGAAAGAAGGGGAATATGGGCAATTTGCCTCATTAGATACCACAAACTATAAACTTGAAGCTATTCAATGTTCTCTTCTATACAGACTTCGTCATGCCAGACTACAATAACCTGTGTTGGTTGCGAAGTACTCCTGACTGTTCTACTACCTCTAATTTGCTGATCTCATAATTACTTGGATACGTTCAAATTTATTTCAGTGGCATTAATATCATACTATCATCACTATCGTAAAGCATAAAAAACATTAAATACATTAGAGTATTATCGTGATATTACACGTCCCATCGTTTCCTCTTTTTGCTGTTTCCTTTTCCCTTCTTTTTTTTCTTTCTTTCTTTCTTTCTTTCTTTCTTTCTTTCTTTTTTTTTTTTTTTTTTTTTTTTTTTTCATTACATCCCCAACAGCCTTCATTCCTATCCCAACTCAACAACAAATGCCCGCAGCAAAGCAAAGTAAGACAAATCCCGAGTCTCATACCAGAGATAAGAAGAAAGCAAGCTTAAACATGACAGCACATCCACAAACTTTCTTCTGATGTAAAATTCACTTCACCAACATGTCAATATGTCATCATCTTCGCAAACACCAAGCGACAATTTTACTCAAGCCAAAGGCAAAGCAAGAGTCTCCGAAAAAAGATCAAGCAACAAATGTAAATCGAAGTAACCAGGCAAAGTAAAGCCAAAGGCAAGAAGATGTGAAACAACCCTGTCTGTTTGGTGAGATTTGAAAGATCAGGGAATTAATCATGGCAAATTCAAAGCCAATATGTAAAACGAACCCCTCATGTAAGGCAAGATCAAAGATCAAGCAGTAAATCATGAGTCAAAATTAATACACCAGAGAAACCTTAAGCCAAAGACCAAGGTACCTAGCCTTCAAGCCATCTGAGCAGCAGAGGCATGCAACTCCGCATCACGCTGATCGACTCTCTGACGTGCCGAGATGCCGCTCATATCTCTGATATCAACGTCCGCACCACAGGACAGCAAGAGATTCGCGACTTCCATACGAGCATTCCAAGCTCCATTAATACACCATCCGTCGCCAAGGAGAAGATTCAAAGGCGTGACACCATTTCCGTCCTGAGCATTCATATCCGCACCATAGTGAAGCAAAAGTCTCACGACGTCGACGGAAACATTTGCCAGGCGATCGACGGCCCAGTGCAATGGGGTTCGGAGGCGCGCGTTGGTCTCGGGGCTCCAGAAGGAGGGGTTGCGTCTGAGATACAAATCGCTGCCGGTGGCGGTTTTCGCGTTGGGGTTACTGCCCTTTTCGAGGAGGAGCTGGACGGCGGGTGTAACACCTAATCTGACGGCGAGATGAAGAGCGGTCAGTCCTTCGATGGAGCTGGCCTTGATATCGACGCCGTGCTGCATGAGGAGCTGAATGATGGCCAGGCGTGTGCTCTCGTCGCTTGGGTCGGCGATATCGAAAGCGTACATCAATGGTGAGTGGCCATATTCATCTTTTTCGTTGGCGCTCGAACCTCGAGTTGACAGAAGGTGCTGGACCACGTCGAGGCGGAGGCCCCACACGGCGTAGTGGATGAGGGGGGTTTTGCGACTCTCGGTTGTTGGCATTGATGCGCTCTGGGATGAGGTTGTACTCAGCTCCGTGGAAAGGTATTCAAAGGTGTCCAAGTTGCCATGACCAGCAGCATACTGGATGAAGTCAGGTTCGCTATCACGCCTCATCGCGGCTTCTCCGCCACTGGTGATGACATATTTGGTCACTATTTTCACCATGTGGTAACTCTGGCTTTCGATAGCGCGGGTAATGTGATCACCGGTCACCTTGGGACCCATGTTCAGAAGCAGACGGGTGACACCGATCAAGTGGGCGTTGCTGCAGGTTATACTGAGCAATCTGTCCATTTCATCATCCCTGAAGCGGATTCCTGCCTGAATTAGAAGATGGGCGCACTTGGAAGGAGTGTTGTCTCCGGGTTTTCCAGTTCGTTCGGTAATGCCTTGGACGCTGGACGTGCAAGCTTCAGGCCGGATTGCTTCGCAGAAGGCATGTTTGAGTACATCGAACCCGTTGGGATTAGGATACATGTGGTGCTTTTTGTAGTCCAGAAGCAAGGTCAACGCCTTTGAGTACCAGAGCTTAGCGGCTAAGATGATCGATTCATCAATTCCACGGGTCGGTTTGTGCAGAAGCTGGCTGCTGGAGAAGAACTCGATGAATCTCGCCACAACCGATAGACGACCATAGCTAATGGCATTCTCAAGCGGAGTGGTCCAGTACTTAAGGGTACGAGGTGTCACGTCATTCTTTCCATGATTAAGGAAGAGGGAAACGAGTCCAACATCACCCCTCATGGCAGCGTAGTGTAGGGGCGTGATCTCTAGCGAGCTGTTCCCTGGCCTGAAGAAAGCATGTGGACTTGCCCCGTACGTCAGCAGCATTGCCACCGTAGTAAGGTCTTCAGGTGCTTCGATTATGGCCCGATGCAAAGCCATGTAGCCATTATCGTCGCGTTTGTTGGGATGATGACCCTGAGCGAGCAACGAAGTCAGATAGTCATAGTTCCTCTGCCGCGCTGCTTGCAGAAAGGGCAACGAGACTCTGATATCCGTGTCGTAAGAGACTTGAGTATCCAGTTCGCTCGACATGATGCTTGAGAACCGATGGTTCAAGATGCCGTTCGGATGGAAAAGAGGATGACGATAGGAACGAAGAGTAAGAGATCAGTAGAGAGAAGATCCTTCTTCTAGCCATCTCTATTCACTCTCTTCGAACAACACATAAACAATATTCAGGCAGAATCACCAGTATGAAGGCGGTGAGGTCTGTTTGCTATATCGCTTCTGCAGTTTTGCATCTAGGGTTGGGGCTACCTTTGTGCGCGTAGTGAATTGCGCGGTGCATATCTGTGGTGTGGTCATTGTGGTGTGTGCTGAGCTATGCTGTTGCT